TAGTGCTTGGTGTTCATTAAATGATCAAAAATTTTCATGCTTACTGGCTACCAAACTCAACAGGGTATTAAAAGATCCCACAGAATTTGGTCCCAGGTTACTATTCCAAACTCATCCCTCTACTTATTACCATTAGCCCATCTCCATGAGCACTACTTTACCTGTCCTTCTTCTCAAGTGCCAGACTCCAAATCTGAACCCCAAATCTGTGCATTAACTGGAACCTTTTCTCTTAACCCTTTAAGAGATCTTAAGACAGATATTCCTTCCCACAATGCTTGGTCTTGCTCATTCTATTACACAATGCTACTGTCAAACAAAATAAATCAATAGCTGTCAAAAAATAGTTGTCAAAAGACACCTACTCTTGCCAGTCTATGTTTGGGTTCATTTTTCTTCGCATAATCCAAGGAATCATAAATCATGCCAAAGCCAGTTGTCTTGCCACCTCCAAAATGGGTTCTGAATCCAAACACAAAGATGACATCTGGTGTGGTCTTGTACATTTTGGCTAATTTTTCTCGAATTTCTGTCTTAGGTACTGTTGCTTTCCCAGGGTGAAGAACGTCAATGACCTAAAAGAAAATACTGAGTTTAGCATTCATCATATTAATATATCTTTAACAAACAATTAGCTGAAATTTAATGTGCCCTTCCTTACCATTTGTTTCCGCTGAAGCAGTCGGTTGGTCATGAACTTCCTGGTCCGGATAGTTACTGTGTCATTCTGAAAATATAACACACAAGTTAACAGAACTACAACTTTTCCTTGATATTGCTATTATTTTCCAGTATCTAGAACTATACTAATTTGGTACCATCAAGCCCTGTAGCCTAGTATTTACAATCAAATAATATTTAAGACAATTCCTCTGTTGCAGTACTGCAAGCGTTCCACAGCCACATGGGTATGGCAAGAAAGCTACAATTAAAACAAAAAAAATAAAAATAAACAAATTACCATCTCCACCCAAGGTAGAGTGCTGAACTCACAAGACATATATAACATACACAAAAAAAAGCACTCCAGTTATCTGTCAATCTGAAAATTTTATACCATTTTCAAAGTTAGGGATATCACTCTGGAGCAGTTGCTCAACCTCAGCACTATCAATTTTTTGGTTTGGATAAGTCTTTGTGGACTGTCCTACGAATTAGGATAAGAATCCCTAGCCTCTAATCATTGGCAATCCCTTTGAGCTACCCCTGCCTCCCCATTGTAACAATCACAAATGCTGTACCCAGACTTTGCCTCAATTAGAGGCAAAAATCACCCTCAGATGAAAAATCACTTCTACAGTGCTTTGCAGAAACCCATTTACAACATCCTGAACAAATGTGAGATACAAAATGGTCCATGCACTAACTGCATGCAATCTTCCATTCTAGAGAAGCAACCGAGCTCATTAGGAAACCATGTTCCTTTCTGAAAGACAGCTCTTATATTTAGTACATAATTGCCAAGAAACGTGGACATTCAGCAAAATTATACAGTCAGCTGACTGAAGAGTAAAATTCTACCAAAAGGAGGAGAGTTCTTTCTGGGCAGCAACTGACTTTATAATAGACTTTCCACTTCAGTTTGAGAAAGATACTCAATTCATCTCAATGGTATTTGATCTTGCAGGGAAAAGAGCTTCCAGGTGGAACTAAAATGAGGTGCTGAGCTCTTAACGATGGAGGTAACTGGTGGAGGCTTTGGGCAAGCCCACCTTTTTTGGTGGCATTCCTTTCCAATACCTCAGATTCCCTATTAAGAATCAGGAGGATCCATTTGGCCGACAAAGTTTTCTATTTTACACGTAGAAACGATTTCAACTCGCCCAGACGCCGGCAGCACCTTCTTCACGTTGCATGGAGAAACCACCTGTAAGCTGCCCACAACGATTAGGGACTCAAGGCGGCAAGACGTTCCTCCTAGAGTCTACACCCCACCCATTCATTGTGCTCGAGGTCGACAAGCGCAGCGGTGGCTTCCGCAGTCCCCAGGCCGCGCAGCCCTAAGCCTGGCATGTCCTGGACAGCAGTGCAGCCCACCAGCCAGCCAGCCCCGACTCCGCGCAACAGTTCCAGAACCCTGGGCAGTCAGTCTCCATAAAACACCACCAGAGAAGAGGAACGGGACTTCGAGCTGCTGCAGCTCCGACCGTAGGACTAGGGGACGAAGGATGGCTCAGATTTGGGGTGGATGACAGCAGAAGTCTGGAGAGACTCACCATGATGGCGGTAGACGTTCAGACACCCAGGGAGGAAAAGGGAACCTTTTTCCGCCGGCCAATCATATCAACGCGCATGGAAGGACCCCGAGCGGCGCCGACGTGGGGGCGTGGCCAGGTCAGGGGCCGACTGCTTCAATGCCTGTTTGAAATTGCCTAAAGCTCCGCCTTATTGACCTTTGGCCACACCTCTAGGCTTCGAGAGGTTCACGCAAGCACGTGTTCCGTTTGCGTTCGAGTCCTTTTGTTGAAAGAGTCTCTCCAAATTTAATTAATTAAGTTTCAAACTGCTTCCATATGAGTTGGAGGAGGTAAACCTGGAAGGCATCTTAGGAGACCTTCCGGGAAGCTCTTCCTTTTACAGCTTGGGAAACAACAGAAACCTTGACTTCAAAATCTCTGTTAGTGCACAACGCAACGTGTTATTATAACTAAGAATTAACCTTTTGAGAAATTTCTGGAAATTCTCTGATTAAATTTTTTTAACTCTTTGCCCTTTTCATGCAACCTATTCCTTGCGCAGGCTGGGCTTTTAATAAGTATTTGCTTGATCCAGAAATTCGTTCTGCTAACAGTGTGATAGATGGGTAGAGAGGAAGAGTGTAAGTGCATGTTCCAAGGACACATTAGGAAGAATTTCTCAAAGGTTGGTTTGGACAAGAGTGCGAAGGCTGCTTTTCTAAAGTCTTAGGAACAGTAAAATTAGAACTCAGTGAGTGATTACTGATGATCCTACATTCTAATGACTCCACCTTTATTTTTCCACTCGACCTCACCAACTCTTAATAAGGGACTCACCCTTTTTATAGACGGGAAAACTGGGATTCGTGAAGTTAAGATCACACAGCGCTTAAAAGGTGGTACCTAAACTGGGCATAGTGGTGTACACCTATAATCCCAGCTGCTCCCGAGTCTAAGACTGGAGGATTGTGAGTTCAAAGCCATCCTCAGCAATTTAGCGAGGATCTAAACAACTTAGCGAGACAAAAGGGCTGGGGATGTGGCTCAGTGGTTAAGTACCCCTGGATTCAATCCCTATACCCCTCCCCCGCCAAAATGTAGTACCTAGATGTCCATGATGGCAATTTGCTCTTAATCTCTAAATGATAAACTCACTCTTTACGCAAATCTTGTTGGTAGAGGTATCCTTTGGTATTCTTAGGGGGGATTCCATGACCACCTTCTTCTCTCCTCCCAGGTTACCAAAATCCATGGATACTCAAGTCCCTTATATAAAAAGTGGCATAGTATTTGCATTAACATATAACACATGCACATCCTCCAAATGTACAAAGGTTTTTGTTTGTTGTAAAACAAGTGTTACTGTGTCATCCAGGCTGCCCGGGAACTCCTAGGCTCAGGGAATCCTCCCTCCTTAGCCTCTGGAGTAGCTAGGACTGCAGGGATGTACAAGAACACCTGACTTCTCTTTGCTTTATTCACTGATTTATTTTTGTGATGCTGGAGATAGAACCCAGGGCCTTCTGCATTCTAGAACCACCACCCCCCATCTTTCATATGTGCAGATGATTCTTTTTTTTTCTTTTCTTTTTTTTTTTTTTTTTGGAGGGGGGGAGAATACCAGGGATTGAACCCAGAGGTGCTTAACCACTGAGCCACATTCCCAGCCCTTTTGTGTATTTTATTTAGAGACAGGGTCTCACTGAGTTGCTTAGGACCTTGCTAAGTTGCTGGGGCTGGCTTTGAACTCACAATCCTCCTGCCTCAGCCTCCGGAGCTGCTGGGATTATAGGCAGGTGCCACTGCACCTGGCTGTGCAGATGACTCTTTAACCTAACTCTAGGTTACCTATAATACCTAGTACAATGTGAACTCTATTAAATGGTTGTTTTCTTGTATTGATTAATGAATAATGATAAGAAAAAATTCTATATATTTGTTCAGTATGTAATTTGTTTTTAATATTTTCAGTCTGTAGTTGGTTGAGTCCACCACAGATGTGGAACCCAAAGGTACATTTGTCAACATTACTCCAAAGATATATTGGGTGCTTGACTTCTAAAATAGGTTAAAATTCTGATTTTCTTTTTGTCTGTGACATTTGAGTTTTACTAGAGAGGCTCTATGGCATCTGGAAATTATAATGAAATTCCTTCTTCAAATTCAGAGGTTTGGGGTTCAGTTTAGTTTCTCACAAATAGTAAGGAATTGGTTCTAGGTTCTGTACTCCCAAGCCCTGGCAGTGTGATTTCCTTGCCTGTTTTCTGAACTAAGATATCACAGTTGGCTCATCTTCCACAGATTGTAACAGACTATAGATAAGCAATTTGTTTCTTCAATATATAAATAATCTTTCCTTTCCCTTCTCCTCATTTCATGGCTCAGTTTTCCCTCAGAACTGCCAGATTTTAGCCAAGCATAGCAACACATGCCTGTGATCCCAGCGACTCTGGAGGCTGAGGCAGGAGGATTATAAATTTCAGGCCAGCCTTAGCAATTTAGAAAGACCCTGTCTCAAAAATAAAAAAGTGATGGAGATGTAGCTCAGTTGTAGAAAGTTTGCCTAGTATGTGCTGGAGTTCCATCCTCAGTATCTTAAAAAAAAAAAAAAAAAAAAAAAAAAGTTATACTTCGCCTATGTCTGAAGGCCTGGCTAGGTGAACCTGAAATAAGGTTTTTTTAAATTGACTGCAAAATATTGGTGTAATTTGAAGGAGGAGCCACAAGGTGGCGGTGTACGAAGCGAGTATAAAGTGGTTTGTAACAGGCTTCTCTTGACAGACACGCGGAGGAAGAGGAAGTGAGCACGTGGGGAGCTCTACGGTGGCCGAGAGGTGCCAAGGTTGTTTTTACCGTGTGTTCAGAAGCACTCTGGGAGGCGTAAGAAGCATTAATTCTCTGATCCGAGTATCGTGGAGGGCTCCCGGACTGCCGGCACCATGGTGAAGGAACAGTTCCGGGAGACGGATGTAGCGAAGAAAATGTAAGATGGAATAAAAAAGGGAGAAGGAATGAGAGGCAGTGGGGGCCGAGGTTAGAGGTCCCTTAACTCGAAGGGTCACAGGTGAGGGACTCTAGGAGGAGAGCAGGTGTGACCAAGGATCCGAAGTACCAGGGAGGGTCAAAGAGCACTAGGCAGGCCAAGGGAATTTTGGCACCTGGAGGTCCCTGGACTTGGGCAGAGAAGGCCGACGGCCTGAGCCTGGGCCAAGGGAACAACCTGGGTCGAAACGCGGGTCTCCCGGAGTCATGTGATGACACCCTACCCCCAGCCTTTTTTTTTTTTTTTTTTCATCGAACTCTTTCCCTAGCTATAGCCAGGAAAGCAGTCCGGGGCAGGGACTATGTCTTATGTGAATTTTGCCGCAGAGCGCATGACAAGGAGGCGGTATGTGCTGACCCGAATGATGGGGTTGTCAGCTAGAAAGCTTGTATCACAGTTCAGCCTCAGCAGTGAAACCGCTAATGAAGCTCTCCCTCAGAGCTTATATATTTGGCAATGGCCCCCGATTAAAGTTCTCAGTTTAAACGTGAATCCATCATTCTTGAGGCAAATACTCAGGAGAATGTTGTGTGCTGGGTGCAGTGTTGAGCATTAGCGATAAGGCATGATCAGAGCTGAGCTCAGTGGTGCAACACCTGTAAACTCAGCAACTGGGGAGATTGAGGTAGGAGGATGCCAAGTTCAAGACCAACCTCAGCAATTCAACAAGACCCTAAGCAACTTAGTAAGACCGTTTCTCAAAATAAAAAGGACTGTGATGTAGCTTAGTGGTAGACACTCTTGGGTTCAATCCCCAGAACCAAAAAAAAAAAAATAGGACAAGAATATGACCTTTGTTGTCTAGTTGGAGAAAGTAAAAAGGTCAGCAGTGTAGGCAGAAAGGGTTTTGAGAGCACATAATGGGTCCTGGCAGAAAAAGGCAGACCAAGCAGTCTTCTTCAAGGAACATACTGGAAGGTGGGTGATGAGAACAAAGCAAGAGATTTGAAGCTGTGTGAAGGAGTCTCCTCACCCATAGCTATAGAAGGCTGACTATATCTATTTATTATTTGTCTTCACCACTCTGAACTGAACTTATTTATCTTATCTAATCTGAATCTTTAGCACCTAGAGTGGTTTCTGGCCCATAGCAAAAACCCAATCTATTGGAAGAATGAATGAAGGGCGAAATATGGGAGGGAAAGTATCCATTTTAGATATGGCAAGTTGAGATGCCTGTGGGATATCCAAGTGGAAATGTCCAGAATAGGTGTCTTGTACAGGTTTCCAATAGAATGGAAGTGGCTGACCGAAAGAAATTTGACAGACATTGACACATAGTCAAGTTATGTAATCACTTAGGAGGAATGTATAGAATGCAAAGAGGACAAGGATTGTAATCCTTGGTAGGGTGGGCCACTAAAAGAAGGCATAATTAGACAGGGGAGGAAAACTCAGAGTATGGTGTCCCTAGAACCCAGAGAAGGAAGGATTTCAAGATGGAGGTGGGGAGGAGATGGACTGCTAATGCCACAAAGCAATAAAATGAGGAAGGTCTTACTAGATTCTGCAGCAAGTAGGTCACCTCTATGACCTTGGTGAGAACCATGCATTAGATAGTCTGGTAGGACAGAAGGATGTTTTGAAGGAAAAACAGCAAAAGTTTGAGTATATTTAATATTGATGAGGAAGAGCTTAAAGAGAGAGTTGGAAAGACAGTTTGGTGTGCTGCATGATCACAATTTTTGGTTACAAGTTTTGATGTTGTAACTCCCATTTCTTTCTATTCCAGAAGCCACATCTGTTTTGGAATGAAGTCACCTGAGGAGATGCGCCAACAGGCACACATCCAGGTTGTGAGTAAGAACTTGTACAGCCAGGACAACAACCATGCCCCCTTACTGTATGGGGTGCTTGACCACAGGATGGTAAGTCTCCTTCCCCTCTAAGTGCCTGAGTCTTGACCTACTGATTAATCAGTTGACTTACAAGATTGGAAGTAACCGGGGCTTCTTTCCTTCCTGGCTCTTCTGCATATCTGAGACAGTTTGGGCCTCCAGCCATCCATCAGCCAGATGTGAATACACTGTAGCTTCCCATTTGGTTCTGATACTGAGTCATCCACCAGGTGTGAGGACTGAGCTCCCATCCTATCCAGTGGTCTCTGTTGATCATTTGCTGTTTTCTTCCAAAGGGCACCAGTGAAAAGGACCGTCCTTGTGAAACCTGTGGAAAAAACTTAGCTGACTGTCTAGGTCACTATGGTTACATCGACCTGGAGTTGCCATGTTTTCATGTGGGTTACTTCAGAGCTGTAATAGGCATCTTACAGGTAAGCACACAGATCCTAATTTCCAAGAAATAAATCCTATTTCCAAGAAATAAATGATTGTCAGGGTCAATGGAGTGAACCTTGAAACTGAGCAATGAGGAATGCATCTGGGGAAATTTTTATACTAAATACATTATGTTTTCATCTTGTACTACATTAAATTCACTTAAGGGTTCTTTATTCCCCTAGGGAAGGTGGTAACTATACATTATAAAAAATGACAATAATAATAATCTAAGCAATACTGAGCATCACAAAGAAAAAGAAGTTAGCAGAAACCTTACCACCTTGTCATGAGTCCTGCTAACATTTTGGGAACACAGGCTGCCTCTCTGTACAGATCTATGTGCAAATCTGTGTATGATGTCAACCAGTCCCATCTACAGGACAAGAGAATGTCATTTTATAAAGGAAAGAATTCATCTTTTTTTAATCATCTGTTCTGCTTAATTTTTAAAAGATGATCTGCAAAACCTGCTGCCATATCATGCTGTCCCAGGAGGAGAAGCAGCAGTTTCTGGATTACCTAAAGAGGCCTGGCCTGACCTACCTTCAGAAGCGAGGCCTCAAGAAGAAAATCTCTGACAAGTGCCGGAAGAAAAGTATTTGCCATCACTGTGGTGCCTTTAATGGTGAGTGGAATATGCAGGAGGCTCAGTGACAGCCCTTTTCATTCACTCTATCTTATTAGCTTTATGTAATATTTGGGAGTCAGTTTTTTTCCCCTTTTAAATTAGGCGCAGGAGCCTAGCAACAAATGTACTATAAGGAAATGCATCTCTCACCTTTCATTGCTATAGTAATTTCAGCAATTCCATTAACCAGGCTCTAACCTCTGGCCAGCCTAAAAAGTGAATTTTTTAATCTTTGGTAAATGAATGAACTCTTATAGGTACTGTAAAGAAGTGTGGCTTACTGAAGATAATTCACGAGAAATACAAGACCAACAAAAAAGTGGTGGATCCTATTGTATCAAGTTTCCTTCAGTCCTTCGAAACGGCCATTGAGCATAACAAAGAAGTCGAGCCACTGCTGGGAAGGGCACAGGTGAGCCTGAAAATGCATGCTGGCCTCCTCCTGCCTTCCCTATGTCAATTACCCACCCCTCCCTCTCGCACCTCCTCCTAACCTGCATATGCCCACTTTCTCTCAAATGAAATGAGAATTCCAATTAAGTTCCCAGGAATAATCATGTGACTGTGCTATGGTATTTATCTGGCACTAAATTTTTATGAACTAACTGGCCCTTGTACCCTCACTTGTTTTTCTTATTTCCTTTAGTTCTTTTTAAATAGTAAATAAGTTTTATTAATTTTTATTGTAAAATATTTAAAAATTATAGCTGTACTGGGCATAAATAGACTTTATTCCTCACATAGACGATGAAGTATAGGAAAATCACAAGCAGGCCAAGAATGATGGCCTTCCTGTGCTTCTCGCCAGCAACTCCTAGTTTCTTTTTCCTGATGCAGAGCAGATGTGTGCCTCTCAGGAGGCTGTTATCACATCCCTCTTCTTTTGCTTTTTTGTAATACTGGGGACAGAATCTAGGGGTGCTCTGCCACTGAGCTACACTTCAGCCCTTTTTATTTTTTGAGACAGAGTCTCACTGAGTTGCTTAGGTTGGCCTCAAGCATGTGATCCTATTACTTCAGCCTCTTAAATCAGTGGGATTACAGGTGCATGCCACTGTTCCCAGCTGTCACATCACTTTTTTTTTTTTTTCCTAATTTGTTGTACATGATAGCAGAATGCATTTCAATTCTTAGTACACAAATGGAGCGCAATTTTTAATTTCTCTGGTTGAACACAAAGTAGAGTCCCACCATTCATGTCTTCATACATATACCTAGGGTAATAATGTCCGTCTCATTCCACCATCTTTCCTACCCTTGTGCCCCTTCCCTTTACCTTCCTCCCCTTTGCCTTATCCAAAGTTCCTCCATTCCTCCCATTTGCCCCCACCCCACGCCCATTAATGATCCATCCACTTATCAGAGAAAACATTCAGCCTTTGGTTTTTTGGTATTGGTTTACTTCACCTACCATGGTATTTTCCAACTCTATCTTGTCACATCACTCTTGAGTGACTGCTCTTGGTAAGAAGGGGTTTCCAGACTTGCTAGTTCTCATGCCCTTCAGTTCTGGATGTTTGTAATCTCTTGTCTGATACTATCTGGTACTCTTGGTGAAGTCTGGCCTTTGTCCCATTCTTAGGGTTCTATTAATTTCCTACCTGACTGCCCCAGGTGGTAATGAAATGCCTGTAGCTGGGAAACAGGGAGGCTAAGGAAGGGAATACACATTGGGCAAGGGCCTGAGCAAAGACCTTTCTGTTGGGGTTCGTCCCTTCTCCCCAGCTACACTCTGCTGTCCTCCAAAGCAGGACTGCCCTACCTTTATCTTGCTGCGGTCCTTAATGTCAATAGCTACTCAAATATTTCTTTCTTTGTTCTCTTCTCACTAAGTGTAGCAATTCTACTTGTAACATACACTCTCAGCCACTCAATTTTAAATCCCCCTACCAAATTAATCAAATTAATTTATTTTAATATATAAATTTTTAGAAAAAATTTTTTTTGGTTTTTTTTATTGTTGTTGTTATTGTTGTTTTTTGTTTTTTTGTTAATGGGAATTAAACATTGAACCCAGGGGTGCTTTATCCATTGCAGTATTATCCCCAGCTGCCCCCCCCCCCTTTTTTTTTTCCAGATAGGGTCTCTCTGAGTGCTCAGGGTCTCCCTAAGTTGCTCAGGCTGGCCTCAATCTTGTGATCCTTCTGCTTGCTTCAGCCTCCCTAGTTGCTGGGAATATAGACATGCACAACCACACCCCATCCCTCCAGAAAATTTAATGAGTAGACAACAAGACATAGGATCTCTGATAATCTACATAGTTCCTATGAGTGAGTTTTTATAGTGTAGTGTTTTTATTAATGAAGTTAATTCAAAGGCAATTTAATCTCATTTTAAAACTTTAAAGTATCAAAACACAAGCAAAAAGATTATGATTCCACTCAGAGACACCTGTTAACAACTCAACGCCTCATTAAATGCTTCCATTTCCTCATCTCTGCAAAGACGTACATTTTTCTTTAAAATGGGACCACATATGCACATGCTTATTTCATTTGCCGATATTTTATGAACTTTTTATGTCAGTAACTATTTCTGTGGTGTCTTTGTTTTATTTTGTTTTCTTGTTTTTATGGTATTCGGGATTGAACCCAGGGGCATTCTACCACTGAGATATATCCCCAGCCCGTTTGATTTGGGGGAAAGATCTCATTAAGTTGCTGAGGCTGGCCTCAAACTTGTCATCCTCCTGTTTTGGCCCCAAAATCACTGGAATTACAGTCATGAACTGTTGCATATAATTTTTTCATAGTTTTCCATACATGGATATACTGAGATCTCATCTAGTCGGTAACCTATCAGGCTCTTTGCACCTTTTCACAATTAAGATCAGATTTTAGCTAGGCATAGTGGTGCATATCTATAATGCCAGCTACTTTGGGAGAATGAGGCAAGAGGATCACAAGTTCCTGCCTCCACCTCACGGGCTGCTGGGATTATCGGCCTGCACCACCATGCTGGCCACTTGCCCTAATTTAAGTGGTGAACAGGTTAGAGAGCATGGAGAAGGAAGAGCATGCCCTACCTATTGGAAACTAACCTTCTCTCTCCATTCCTTCCGTTCCTCCTTCCCTTAGGAAAACTTGAATCCTTTAATAGTTCTGAATTTATTTAAACGAATTCCTGCTGAAGATGTCCCTCTACTTCTGATGAATCCAGAAGCTGGAAAGCCCTCTGATTTGATTCTCACACGACTTTTAGTGCCTCCTTTGTGTATTAGACCCTCCGTTGTGAGTGATTTGAAATCTGGCACCAATGAAGATGATCTTACGATGAAATTGACAGAAATCATTTTCCTAAATGATGTTATTAAAAAGGTCAGTGCTTCCCATTAGTTTGTGTTTTGTAGTGTCTCTCCCAAACCTCTGGTCAAGAAAACACAAGAAAAATTAAATGATCAGGCTTTTTTCTGATATTTCACTGCTCATTTTAGCATCGGATCTCTGGAGCCAAGACCCAGATGATCATGGAGGACTGGGATTTTCTACAGTTGCAGTGTGCCCTCTACATTAACAGTGAGCTCTCCGGTATTCCCCTCAACATGGCACCCAAAAAATGGACCAGAGGTTTTGTCCAGCGGCTAAAGGGAAAACAGGGTAGGTTTCTCACAAAATGTGTAGAAGATAGCCTACTGTCTTTGATATCCTTGTGTAGAATGTACATCTGGCTTACCTAGTTGGAGATCACTGGCTTTCCTCCATGTCAAGGTTCATATTACTCCCAGTGAACAACATGCTGTGAGAACCTATGACATGTTTTTATTTATTTAGGTCGGTTTAGAGGCAATCTCTCAGGAAAGAGAGTGGATTTTTCTGGCAGAACAGTCATCTCGCCTGACCCCAACCTCCGGATTGATGAAGTAGCTGTGCCAGTGCATGTGGCCAAAATCCTGACTTTTCCTGAGAAGGTAAGTACCAATTAGTTTCCAGATTCTTTGTGGTTTTTGTTGTTGTTGTTGTTGTTGTTGTTTGTGGTGCTGGGGATTGGACCCAGGGCCTTGTGTATACAAGGCAAGCACTCTACCAACTGAGCTATATCCCCAGCCCCCAGATTCTTTGTTTTTAATCCAGACTTTTACATGATGTTTTGCTATTCCAAACTATAGACAGAGGAAAGTCCCCAATCAACCACCCAACCACAGTTTCATTTATATGAATATATGTGTCTTCCCAGTTTGTCTTGTACACATAAAGCACATATTGTGTCTTTGACATATACACCACAGTTGTATTCGATTTTATATACATATACTCGTATACGTTATGCATGCTATTCTGCACCTTTTTTTCACTTTTTAATTTTGTACATACCTCTCTATGTTGGTTTATGTCTCATCTTAAAGTAATTAATAAACACCACACTTGGTTAATTTTGGGGGGATATTATTATTTCTAAACTTGTGGAATAACTGAGTCAAAGAGTTTGAACACTTTAAGGCTATCGATGTATACCTAGAAAGGCAGCCACCATTTATACTCAGTTCGCACTCACAGTGAGTATATTATGGTATTTACAGTCCTCTCCTTTTATGAAAGTTTACGTGGCTACAGGGCCTGATAAAAAGAGCATATAGATGGGCTATGCCCGTATGATTCAGTTAGCCCAGATGATAGATGCTTCTGGTGAGGTTTGTGCTGAGTGTCCTCAGTTGAGTTATAAATGATGCAAGAGTTTCTTTTTCTGACATTCTCTTCTACAAACAGCTACCCAAGAGGCTGCAGAGTGTGACTAAGGCAGGCAGTGCACCTCTTGTAAATAATTACACATGAGGGGCTGGGGTTGTAACTCAGTGGCAGAGCACTGGCCTAGCATATATGAGGCACTGGGTTCGATCCTTAGCACCACATAAAAATAAACAAATAAAGGCATTCTGTCCCCCTGCAACTACAAAAAAAAAAAAAATTAAACAATAATAACAATTACAGATGAAATTGCCACCTGTTTCTTGGATTACAGAATATTCTGACAGGTGTCTGCATCAGTCCAGCCTGTTCGTTCTACTGATGGGGAAACCAAAGGCCAGAAAGGACTTGGCCAGGTCTCAGCAAGTGAGTGATTGAGTAGAGACTGGACCTGGCACTATAGACTGTTAAACTTAAGACCGCAGACAGCAGGCTGCCCAGGGGAGCTTCTTTTTCTTCTAGAATCTACTCAAGGAATGATTAGGACACAATCAGTAGTTTACAGGCTTATAGAAACCTGAGAATATCTTACTGTGTTTTTAATTGTCTTTCAGGTAAACAAAGCAAACATCAATTTTTTGAGGAAACTGGTTCGAAATGGCCCTGAAGTTCACCCAGGAGCTAATTTCATCCAGCAGAGACATACACAAATGAAAAGGTAATGAATGCTCTCCCAATCTAGTTAGATTTAACTGTGTTCTCATGACCAAGTTCACTGTCACCTGCTCAACCACAGTATGCACTCCAGAGTACGATGACTGTGACACTTCCACATATGGGAAATATCTCTTTAAATTTCAATGGGCCTGTGTGTGTGTCACTTGCTTAGTTTGATCTTTGATATATGTGAAGTGTTCATGTGTTCCCTGGCATGTAACATTAGCAGGCCTAGGTGACAGACTACCTTGGATTATGAAAGTGGATCATCTCCTGTGTCACTGAGCTCTCTAGGCTTCCTTCAGTGCACTCCTAACTCCGTGGCACTCACAGGGCCAAGTGTGGCTTATGCAGCATGATGAACTGACCACTAGTGCATTTTGACTCATGAGAGGATTCTCTGCAGGGCCTGCGGGAGAAGCTGATTTATTATTATATTTCTGTGATTCTCAGACACGTTTTTTTCATATTCTAACATTTCTAAAATTAGGAAATATATTAAATCAACAGTCATAATTTAATAGCTTTTGCTAGCACAAAAATTAATGTTCTGAGTTTAAAATGGAGGTGTCTTTGATTTAATGAAATGTTTTAGAGATTGAATCCTTAGTGGCAGAAATCTGGTGTCAAAGAACTTTGATGTCACAGGTCACCTTTATCACTGCACATTCAGGTTTTTGAAATACGGAAATCGGGAAAAGATGGCTCAGGAACTCAAGTATGGTGACATTGTAGAGAGACACCTCATAGATGGAGACGTAGTGCTATTTAATCGGCAGCCCTCACTGCACAAATTGAGTATAATGGCTCATCTGGTGAGTACGGGATTATTGTTTTTATTTTCTTTCAAGTAAAAATTTGCTGTGTGTATTCACTGCTTAATTACAGACTCCTAAAATTGCACATCATCTCAAATTTTTGTAATGTGACCTCCCTCTCAGTGTTTAGCTGAGTGAAACTTATTTAATTTTAAGCTTACTTTAGCTACTTTTAATATGTATAATGTAAAATTTATATGCAGCAAAGCAACAGAGAAGATCTAATTGAAAGTCAATATGAAAGTAACTAGTTTTACTTGGAAATAAAAATGTGAGGCTGGGGTTGTGGCTCAGTGGTAGAGCACTTGCCTAGCACATGTGAGGCACTGAGCTCAATTCTCAGCACCACATATATGGCAGGAAATTTGCTTTGTGTGTGGGAAGGGTTACCAGGGATTGAACTCAGGGCCACTTGACCACTGAGCCACATTCCTAGCTTTATTTTGTATATTAGAGACGGGATCTTATTGAGTTGCTTAGCACCTTGCTTTTGCTGGGGCTGGCTTTGAACTCACAATCCTCCTGCCCCTACCTCTAAAGCTGCTGGTAATCAGGTGTGCACCACTGTGCCCAGCCAGAAAATTGACTTTTGATTTAACTTTGCATATTAACTAAGAGCTAAAATGCTGAAAAGATTTTTCCTTTTTGAATTGGGGATTGAACTCAGGGGCACTAAACCATTGAGCCATATCCTCAGCCAGTTTTTATAATTTATTTTGCAACAGGGTCTTGCTAAGTTGCTTAGCGCCTGGCAAAGCAACAGAGAACAAAAAAAAAAATACCAAAAATTTACTTCCTTAAAGTGTCCAGTTTTCCAGGAAGCCATTTTTCAATGTTTTGAAACCAATTTTTGAATGCATGCCAAAGTCCTTTTCCCATTTTGTTTTGTATTTCCCAGGCCAGAGTCAAGCCCCACCGGACCTTCAGATTTAACGAGTGTGTCTGTACTCCTTACAATGCGGACTTCGATGGGGATGAAATGAATCTTCATCTTCCTCAGACAGAAGAAGCTAAAGCTGAAGCCCTTGTTCTGATGGGGGTAGGTAAAGTGATGTGGCCCAGCTTTGCTTCTGCTAAGGAGGGGAATGGGGGTAGGGGGCCTGTGAAAAATAACACCACAACTAGCAGTGGCACCAGTGCCTGTGTTTATCTGGCGTTTCATTGATTTCTCTTGAGCCTTTGGACAGTCTTCTTTGGAAATAGAGAGCTAGTGTCTGTAATAATGTCTTGTTGTTTGTTTTTTTGTACTGAGGATTGAACCCAAGGGTGATTAACCACAAAGACACATCCCCAGCCCTTTCTTCTTATTTTTTATTATTTATTTATAAGTTGCTTAGGACCTCGCCAAGTTGCTGAGCCTGTCCTCGACTTTGTAATATTCCTGCCTCGGCCTCCTAAGTCTCTGGGATTACAGGTGTGCACAGTGTGCCTAGCTACCTGTTACCTTTTTTTTTTTTTTTTTAATTCTTCTTCTTGGTACCAGGGATTGAACCCAGGAGCACTGAGCCACATCCCCAGCTCATTTTATATTTTATTTAGAGACAGAGTCTCACTGAGTTGCTTAGGGCCTCACTAAATTGCTGAGGCTGGCTTTCAACTCAAAATCCTCCTCTCTCAGATTCCCAAGCCTCTGGAATTATAGTTGTGCGCCATAACACCCATCTTTTTTACCTTTTTTTTTGGGGGGGGGGGGGTGCTGGGGTTTCAACCTAGGGCCTTGTACCTGTGAGGCAAGCACTCTACCAACTGAGCTATATCCCCAGATCCTTTTTTACCATTTTTGATGTGATACTTCTAACCTATTTTTGGTTTAGGTTTAGCATTTCCTGCATAGTTTTGGGGTTTTAACAATTATTTTTGTACATTTTTTTCTACAAAAAACGTTGCTTTTCTAACAAAAGGTAATGTTTAGAATGTTACTGAGAATAATAGCCATTAATAGTAATAGAAACCAGCCAGTTAGACTTTATCTCTGATTTTGCTTTTCAAAATCTACACTATAGCCATCTTACAATATAGTTAAAAATGATAACAGTAAGCCTGGCATGGTGGTACACGCCTGTAATCCCAGTGGCTCAGGAGGATGAGACAGGAGGATCATGAGTGCAAAGCCAGCCTCAGCAATAGCAAGACACTAAAGCAACTCAATGAGACCCTGTCTCTAAATAAAATACAAAATAGGGCTTGGGATGTGGCTCAGTTATCAAGTGCCCCTGAGTTCAATCCCTGGTACCCCCATCCCCCCCCCCAAAAAAATATGATAACAGTAAGACACAGGCTTCTAGGGTGTTGGGATGGAGGAATCCTTGGTTACCAGCTGAATAAATCCACTCAGTTTCATGAAAGAAAGTTGTTATCTCCCATTCTTACTCAGCAGTTCTCGGTTAAATGTGATAGGGTTTAGCTTGGATATTGACCCAAATTACCCAGAAGAGTTTTCAGGAAAAAAAAAAAAAAACTCCACCCGCATCCTCTGCTCCTATATCCAAACCATCTGCTATTCTACCTCAGAGAGATGCTCTAAAACAGGTGAGGGAACCAGCAAGTGTATCCTATCTCCCACTCCAATTGAAGGAGCAGTGATTGAGAAGTAGGCAATAACAAGGCCTTGCCACAAAGGACTGTGGGTGAAGAGACCCAGAATACCCACGAGCATACGAGCACCTCTACATCAAGAGCAAAGCACTTGGCCCCGAACCCTCAAAAAAAAAAAAAAAAAAGCAAGGAGCAGTCACACTAGCACTCGAATACAAGTAACCTGTCCTTTGGGGCGGGGGGAGGGGGTGGCTATGGATTAAAGCCAGGACCTCACATTGCTAAAACGTGCTCTACCACTGAGCTACATCCCCCATCCCACAAAATTCAATTTTGTTGTTGAGATGTAATGTCTCAAAAAAGAGAAATTGAGCAATTCTACAATCATGTGGAGCTATATGGACTTGGTTGGCTTCAGAGGTCACAGTGCTGCTGAGCATTCATAGAAGTGAATTTTCTCTGGAGAAGTACACTTAATAATAGGTAAAGTCTTGCATGTATAGAACTCTGTAGAATTCTAAAGCAACTTCCCCAGATTTCATTTTAGTGTCAATATGAACCTCCAAGGCCAATCTTTCTGGTACTTTTTTCCTTCTCCTTAACAGGGGAAGGAACTAGGAGTGAGTGAGAAAACAAGGCTTAAGACCCCTGCCCCCCCCCGTTTCTTAGGTTCCCTTTTCTGATATTCTTTCTTCATTCACAACAGTCGGAAAGCTTTGTTCTGCAGGTCTTTGGACTACATCATGCAGCCAAAAATGCCTAACTTATTGTGCTTATTTCTCCTTCAGACTAAAGCAAACCTGGTAACTCCAAGGAATGGGGAGCCACTCATTGCTGCTATTCAGGATTTTTTAACAGGTGCGAGTGTGAAATTCATGAGAAATAAACTTCTGACTCTGGAACATGGGGATTCTCATTCACAATGATTCATGTGATGACTTGAAAAGCTATTTAATTGCCTGTGTTTAATTATATTTGTTTACTAAGTTTGCTCATGAGCCTGTTTAAGGTATTTTTAATTGTTGGGTTACAACAAATGCTCCCAGCTCCCACCATGGGGCTTTTTCTAGGCCTAATGCCTGATGGCCTAGAATCTGTCCCCGTATCAGGGACTCAGCAGTGTGCAAAACAAAGACACTTTACTGAGCTTAGATTCAAGTTGGAGGAGGGAGCCAATAAGCACTGCATACTTAATTCATTGTGTTGGTAAGTAATATGATTGTATTTTAAAGTTGAAAGCATATGGATTTCTCTAATTTCAATCCTGTTCTTTGTTTTGTGCTGGTTCTAACACTCTTAGGTGCCTATCTCCTCACTCTCAAGGACACTTTCTTTGACAGAGCCAAGGCTTGCCAAATCATTGCTTCAATATTGGTTGGCAAGGATGAGAAAATTAAAGTTCGTCTCCCACATCCTACAATACTGAAGGTGCGTGCAGGCTGAGCACAGTGTCACATACCTGTTCTCCCAGCATCTTGGAGGACTGAGGCAGGAGAATCTTAAGTTTGGTGCCAGCCTAGGCAACTTAGTGAGATCCTATCTCAAAATAAAATAAAAAGGGTGGAGTTGTGGCTCTATGGTAGAAGACCTCTAGATTCAATCCCCAATACCACCAGAAAATTAAAAATAAGTAAAGGTGCTTACAGTTATGTGTCCATACACAAGTACATGTGTGTCTGTGCAGAACATCTGATAGAGTAAGTGTAACTGTGTTGGTGCCAGGCTTGGTGTGGAATCATTGAACCATCTTGCCTTATGTGAAAGGTGGTAGAGACCAGGCTCAGCCCCTCATCTCTGGCTTCCTTTCCATCCCTAGCCTGTCACCCTGTGGACCGGAAAACAGATCTTCAGTGTCATCCTCAGACCTAGTGATGACAATCCAGTGAGGGCCAACCTCCGAACCAAGGGCAAGCAGTACTGTGGCAAGGGGGAAGATCTCTGTGTCAATGATTCCTGTGAGTTGAAAGAACTGGGGGCGGCCAGGGGGGAGCAGACATATGGCAGAAAAGCAGGTGGCCAGAAATTAACTTTACCAGGTACTTTCCCTTAGCCGCAAATCCAATGTTTCTCCAAAGGCCTCTAGCAGGAAGTTGACGCTTCAGGAAGAAGCAGGTCCTTCTTCTCTCATATGTAATTCCCCATTTCTCTAGAAGGTAGAGATCATGTAGATGTGTAATCGAGTGGTTAGTATTCTTCTCTAAATGAATAGTTTTTGTCAGTTAATGCAATTTGTCTTCTATTTTGCCTTCTTTTGAACTGGGGGGACATCAACAAGGGTCCATTATCGTGGTGGTTTTATGGTACTAGGGATTGAACCTGCTCTACTTCTGAGCTACATCCCTTGCCTTTTTTATTTTTTCATTTTGAGGCAGGGTATTGCTGAGTTGCAAATGTTGGCCTCAAACTTGCAATCCTCCTGTCTCAGCCTCCTGATAGCTAGGATTACAAGTAGGGTCTCATTACTTAAGGCATATAATTTATTATTTCGTGTCCAAAAATAAAACTAAGAAGTATAAGTTTTCTTTATTTACTTATTTATTTGGTGCTGGAGATCTAACCCAGGGCCTCACATATGATGCTAGGCAAATACTTCTTTACCACTGAGCTATATCCCAAGACATTTTTTTTCCTGTCTCATCTTCTCAGCAAAGTGTTTTGATAACGTGAAGATCAGATATAGCAGGATTTAGTTGCAAGTCACTTGAGTCTTCCTAAAACTGCTACATTCCAAAGCATGATGGAAGGACAACATACACATATACACACACAGAGCTTTTTAAGATACTTTGGCTTCTTGTTCTATTTTTTAATTTTTTGCATGCTAGTGATCAAACAGTGCATCATGCATGCTAAGCACCTGCTCTACCACTGAGCTACACCCTCAGGCTAGCTTCATATTTTAGATTGTATTTTGTTGCTTTCTAGATTTAAATTTCTTTTCTTTTTCCTTTTTGGAGTGTGGGCTGTTTACAATGATACTGCTGTTAGTTTTCAGTAGCAACTGCCTGAAATTCATTTTGGAATGTGATAAGTAATCATTTGTCTAAATGCATAATCAGTATTATTGTTCCAGATGTCACAATCCAGAACAGTGAGTTGATGAGTGGCAGCATGGACAAAGGAACACTGGGATCAGGATCCAAGAATAATATTTTCTACATTTTGCTGCGAGACTGGGGGCAGAATGAAGCTGCTGATGCTATGTCCCGGCTTGCCAGGCTGGCCCCTGTGTACCTGTGTGAGTGTCTCAGCATTCTCTTGTTATTGCTACAGTGATTAAGAGTTTTAGGGTTTATGATAGTTTATCCTTTATAGTTGGTTCATCTCACTCACTCACACACACAAAGAAAAAATGATGCTTGTTCCATACGAAGTATGAGTGCATTTATTAATGAAATTGACAGAATTGACTAGTTTGTAGATTTAAATCTGCTTTTCTCTCTGCAAAATCTGCAGTCACTCCCTCTTGCCTACAGCTTTGTATTATATAAAAGGCCTTCATGGGCTGCCTCAAAGTACCTTGGAAGCACTGTTTTCCAGGCCTCCCAGGATTCAGCCTAAGCCCATGATTGAGTATTGCTCTTACACTCATTAGTTGCCTTTGTTTGCACATGCTTTGAGCATGGCATGTGTCAAATGATTTTTTCATGCCCCCCCAAAAATCCCTATGCTGCTGATCTAATTGATTCTTTGTCTGGATATCAAATTACAGAATGAAAATTAGTTTCCCTTAGTTTTGAAGGTATTGCTCCATCTTTTTTTTTTTTTTTTTTTTTTTTTTTTTTGGAGACAGGGTCTCAGTAAGTTGTAGTGGCTTTGAACTTGCAATCCTCTTGCCTCAGCCTCCTGTGTTATTGGGATTATAGGTGTGTGCCACCACAACTGAGTTCACTTGTTGTTCTCTGTTTGGGAGTGATTTCTGAAAATACAAGGGCAGACAGGTTTCTGCCATGCTATCTTAGAGCCTGCTCTTTAGTATTAAATATCACTCACTCTACTTTATGTTATAGTGGAGAACATTGCATTCCCCAAGGGATCATAAGGTCTGGGAGAAGAGTAAGTGAGTCTTTGTTATTTTATTTAACTCTCTAGGGGCTAAGATAGGAAGCTGTTCTTTGATTGAATTGTGACAAATTTCTGTGAGATTTTTTTGGTTTGTTTATGGTACTGGGGGATCAAACCCAGGCACGCTACCACTTAGCCACATCATCTGTCTTTTCTGATTTTAAGACAGGTTCACACTGAGTTGCCCAAGACTGGCCTCATCTTGGGATCCTCCTGCCTCAGTCTCCTGAGTATAAAAACATTTTTTATACTTCAAATTATGTGTGGTAGTCTATATATCATGTCCTCCCTTCTGTGGTTTAGTTACCTATAGTCAATGAGAGTCTGAAAAAGTAAGTACAGAACAATAAGATATTTTGAGAGAAAGAGACCACTTTTATATAACTTTTATTATAGTATCTTATAGTGAATTATTCTATTCATTATCGTTAATCACTTACAGTGCCTAACATATGAATCAAACTTAGCCGGACAAGGTGGCGCATCCCTGTAATCCCAGAGACTGGGGAAGCTGAGGCAAGAGGATCACAAGTTTAAAAGCTAACCTCAGCAACTTAGTGAGGCACTTAGCAACTCAGTGAGACCTTGTCTCTAAATAAAATATTTAAAAGGGGCTGGGAATGTGGCTCAGTGATTAAATACCCCTGGATTTAATCCTCAGTTTAAAATAATAAACAATAAATCAAACTTTATCATAGGTATGAATGTATAGGAAAAAATACAGTATTACATATACGGTTTAGTACTCTGCAGCTTCAGGCACCCAGCAGGGCTCTTGGAATATTTCCCTTACAGATAAGAGAGGGACTACTTTTTTTTTTTTTTTTTTTTTTTTTAGAGAGAGAGAGAGAGAGAGAGAGAATTTTTTAATATTTATTTTTTTTTTAGTTTTCGGCCAACACAACATCTTTGTATGTAGTGCTGAGGATCGAACCCGGGCCGCACGCATGCCAGGCGAGTGCGCCACCACTTGAGCCACATCCCCAGCCCCAAGAGAGGGATTACTTCATAGTACAATATAAATTATACCTAGGAGCTTTCTTGAGCAACATTTATAGCTCTATTCTGGATCTGCCCACCAATTCCTGCAGCTAACCGTGGATTCTCAATTGGGATCGGTGATGTCACACCTGGCCAAGGACTACTGAAGGCCAAGTATGAGTTGCTGAATGCTGGCTATAAGAAATGTGATGAATACATCGAAGCCCTGAACACAGGCAAGCTGCAGCAGCAGCCTGGCTGCACTGCCGAGGAGACTCTGGAGGTAAGAGCAGCCCTATGATTCGGATCAGCCACAGCATGCTCACCACAGCCGAAGGGATGTCTGCAGGGCATGGGCAGGCAGCCATGCAGAGAAGGTATTAAGGAGCTGAAAGTAAGGATACAGCCTCCTGGGTCTTGGTCCTATGCTGGCCACATGTATGCCCATTTGTTTACCAAGGGCGGGACCTTTGACCAAGTCCTTCACATCCCTTCCAGCTCCCGTGTTCCAGGTGATGAAAACACAGCCATCTGTTCATTCTGCCACATGGGGCTGCTCTTGTCTCAAGCTCACACTCACACCCCCTATGACTGCCCATTAGTGCTTCTGCCCTCTCTGTTTTCAGCAACTTTCTGTAGAAACTGGCACCACAGCTCTGTGAATGGAAGGTCTTTAAAGAGACTTGGATACAGGATGGAAAGTTCACATCTGATAATCACACAGCCAACCTGCTGCCCCCTCACATTTAAAGCCAGCTTAGCTGGGGGGCTCAGTCAATGAGGCTCACTCCCTGGGAACTTGAAACTCTCTGAAGCAACCAGGTCAGCAGGCAGAGGACACCAAGGTTTTGCCTGACCCCTTCTACCCTCGGCCATGGCCTATGGTTCTGAGCTTTAATTCACCTCAGTGAGGAAGAAAGCCTCTTGAAACATAGAGAAGCTTTTTACTGAAATGTATTTTCTAAAGTAAAGAAACCATAATTGTGTGAGGTATTCACACAAATCATTCTTAGTCTCACCAAGTCTTATAAAGAGCAATAAGTTTGTTTCTCACTGGCACCTACCTAGAAAATGACTTCAGGCCTCTGTCGGACCAATTTTAACAGAATCATGTCTCCTAGCTGACTCAGCATCCTATGTTGTGAGTTGAAGAATGGCAACCTGGATGTGTTCATGGGCAAGAACATTTGGTAGAGTCACCTCATCCTAGGCTTAGCTCATGCAAATTCATGGTACATGGCATGAAAAGGTCAACAAATTGTATAAATTGTACAAGCAGTCCTCTTTAACAGACTTCCTATTTCGCTCTTATGTGGGGATATGTGTGTCCACATGGCTGTATATATACACACAGGTATTTTGTTGTATGGGAACTATATCCAAAGCCCTGTGTATTCTATATTATAGGCCATTTAAAGGATTTTTCAAGTTTGTTACTTTTTTTTTTTTTTTGCCATATATACTGATTCCAGAACCTCATGGAAGATGCAGGTATTTATATAGCTAGAGTATTTTGGTCCTCTGAGGCACTGAAACCTTTATTAATTGGCCATCTGACATCTTGCCTAAGTATTCCCAAATTTCTTTAAATATCACAAAGAATATTTATAATCCACAAAGCCAATAGAGACAACCCCCCATAGATCTCCTTTTCTCCCACCAGGCACTGATCCTGAAGGAGCTGTCTGTGATCCGTGATCATGCTGGAAGTGCCTGCCTCCGGGAGCTGGACAAGAGCAACAGTCCCCTCACCATGGCACTGTGTGGCTCCAAAGGTGCGCAGGTCCCTCCCCAGGGCCTAACCGACTACCAGTGTGTTCTCCATGCAGATGGCTGACTTGGTTCTGGAAAATATAACATCAGTATTTGTAGCTTCAAATGGATTCTTCATTTCTTTCTTTAAATGTATATATCTCTTTATTTTGTTTATTTATTTTTATGTGGCGCTGAGGATCGAACCCAGTGCCTCACATGTGCGAGGCAAATGCTCTGCCACTGAGCCACAACCCCAGCCCGGGTTCTTCATTTCTTTAAGGGCCTACATTTTAGATTACAGATAGCTCCTTAATTATGAATTTTAGGAAGTTTAACTCTTTTGGAGGAACTGGATGGTAATGTGGGTAGATTTCTGGGTATGAAGAAAAACTTGGAGGAAACTTGATCTTTAAAGGGCCTGCATGCTGAGTCATGTTCCTGTCTCACCCCACTAAGCTGCTAAATCCTCACTAGAGAGCTAGGATTTTTTTTTTTTTTTTTTGGTAGTTGGACACAATATCTTTATTTTATTTATTTTTTTGTGGTGCTGAGGATCGAACCCAGGGCCTCACACATGTTAGGCAAGCACTCTACCACTGACTGAGCCATAACCCCAGCCCCCCACCAGCTAGGAATTTTTTAATGATGCATTTAATGATGTAACAAAACTCTTTAATTTCATAGTTACCCAGGCCTTTAAAACATTAGGTTTCATGGCACTGCATTCAAACTCGGAGCCTCCAGGCTGCTGTTTCTGGTTTTTTTGTTGTTGTTATTGTTTGTTTGCTTTTTAACCCAACTAAAATCTAATCTCATTTCTCTTTTACTTTGCTTCCTGTTATCCCATTGTTCTCTTTTTTTATGCTTCTTGTATATACCTGATGCTTTCCCATTCCTCCATCTTTGCCTCTCACTCTTCCATTCACTTTGGAATTCTTCCCCATTCTCTTTTGTGTCCAAACCATATGTCCTCAAAAGTCCAGCTCCATGGCTGCTTCTTTCTTAAAGACTCGTCTCCCCAGCCTTCTCTCCAACCCAGGCATGCACTTGAGTCCTCTCACCCTCCAATCTCCTGACTGAGAGCCCCAACTTGTCTTAATGTAGTTCTGTCCTTTACTACCCCCGGGGCTCTGGCTTATTGAGGATAAAGGCCTGCATGCTGAGTCATGTTCCTGTCTTACCCCACTAAGCTCCCTGCTCTTCAGTTAGCCATATTTCAGTAAGTGATGGATATTTCTGACCTGGTTCCCCAGGTTCCTTCATTAACATATCACAGATGATTGCCTGTGTGGGACAGCAAGCTATCAGTGGCTCCCGAGTGCCAGATGGCTTTGAAAACAGGTCCTTGCCTCACTTTGAAAAACACTCAAAGGTAAGCCTTAGTGGATTGAGTAGAACTTTGGAGTCCTGTTCATCTAGATTGTCTGAGGAACACAGACCTATTCATATAAAAGTCTGCTAGCCATTCTGTGCAATGTTTTGTATAGGTATATATATTTTTGCCATTGTATTCACACATACTTCATGTATTATAAAATTTGTCATTTTAAATTGTGCAGATCACCAACTGTTGGTATATTCGCAGGTCATACCTATAGTCATAGTGTACTTTTGGAATATTTTCAGCATCCCAAAATGAAACTTCTTAAACGAGCAGAATATTTTCAGTGTCCCAAAATGAAACTTCATAAACACGAGCAACATGTGGTTATGTTTTGGAGGTGGGCAGGTCTGGCCCACAGGAAGGATGTCTCAAGGTTCTCAACTGCTTGGGCTGCTACTTGAAAGCAGGCAGATAATAGCCCAAGCCAAGGCCTCCTTTTCCTGAACTTCTTGCCTGCTACTAGCACCTGTGCCAGCCCTATCTGGGACCTCACCCTCCTCATGTCTAGTAAGGGTGGTCTGCCCAAATTATTTCTCTTTTAGGCAAGGGCATATAAAGCCTGCCAGTTCATGAAGTGCATTGGCCAGGTAGTTTTAGTCTAAAGGTGGAGCATTTTCTGATTTGAATGGATTTTAGAATTGTGACCCTTGAACTTTATTTTGTTTGATTTTTCTTTTTTTCTACCTCTCTTTAGCTCCCAGCTGCCAAAGGCTTTGTGGCTAATAGCTTTTATTCTGGTTTAACACCAACCGAGTTTTTCTTCCACACAATGGCCGGTCGGGAAGGTCTAGTCGACACGGCTGTAAAGACAGCTGAAACAGGATACATGCAGGTAACTTGAAGAAAGGTCTCCCATTAGCAACAGAACAGGACAAGGCCCTGCTGAGTGTGGATATGTTTTGCACATGAGCGATAATGTATCCAGTATTAGTATTAAAGGGAAAATTTTAGAAATGTAGGTACTCTGGAAATAAAGAACAAAGAAAAGGTGACACATTCCAAATTATCATGTATACCTTGAGAAATCAAGATCAGGCACGTTCCAAAGCTCCACTAGAGGAGGACCTGCTAAGAGTGTTTTCCAGGACACTCTTATTCAACCTTCCAAGACTGTTTCCTAGCATGTGAAGGTGGGGTTACATGCCTCCCACACAGAGGATTTTTCCACTTTGCAATTATTTATGTCATTTCATCTTTTTGTTTTGTTTTGTTGCAGTGCTAGGGATTGAACCCAGGGGTGCTCTACCACTAAGCTACACCTCCAGCTCCCCAGACTTTTTTTTTTTTCCACCAAGTTTTTTTTTTTTTTTCACCGAGTTGCCAAACTGACCTTCAGGTTATGATCCTCCTACCTCACCTTCCCAAGCTGATGGGATTACAGGCATGTCATTATTAATATCAGGTTAATTGGCCCCAATACCTATTCCAGAACCCACCAGAGGTCTTAGATACTTAACTGCTTATTCATTGATGTACAGCTCTGGGCTACAGGGTAAAATTAAGAAATTATCTGTGCTTGGCTTCTCAAACTTTGCCACAAACATACTCTAAAATGGCTAAAGAGTGAAAATTCATCTCTTCTGTATTCTTCCAGAAGACCACAGCAGTGGATTTATTTTCAGTGTCCTGTGATCATTTTTGTTCTCTACTCCATAACTTAACTATATTTGTTGGGGGAAAAAAATGTTTTTTGCAGTGCTGGGGATCAAATTCAGAGCCTGGATATACTTGGCAAGCACTCTATTGCTGAGCTACAGCCTTAGCACCCCCAGAATTTTGAATATATTAACTTCTTAGAACACAATACCAGCAAAAGGCAACACTCCAAACCTGGAGTGCTGGCGCACACCTGTAATCTCAGCAATTTGGGAGGCTTAGGCAGAAGGATCACAAGTTCAAGACCAACCTCAGCAATTTAGCAAGGCCCTAAGTAACTTAGCTGGACCCTGTCTCAAAATAAAACATTAAAAAAGGTCTGGGGATGTGGCTCTCACAAGCTGGGAGACCATGACCAATAAACTAGAGATTTCCACAGCCTCTCTGTACCTTTTTGTCATTATCTGATACTCTTGTTCATCTTCTGGTGGGAAGCTGTCCTTCAGTTGGAGAGTGCATTCCTGTCAAAAACCCAGAAGGCTGTGAAATGCTTTTCCACTCTTCCCATGGCATGTTTTGACTGTTTTTTGTCTTTATCTTTTTAAAGTAGACAGTGTAACTTTTCCAGAGCAGTGTGTTTACCTAGAAGAAATTAGTTCTGGCACAATGAAATTTTGTTTTTTAAGTTGCCTGGAGGATAATTTCTTTCTCTGATTCATAGAGCCACCATTACACTGCTATCTAGAGTATTCTGCTAGTGGAAGGTTCTCTCTAAGCAGATTTGAGAAATGGTTGCTGCCTGCTGGGTCAGACACAATGCTGTCCCTGTTCTCTTCTCTTTCCCCTCTGTCCCAGAAGAGGGCCTGAGCCTGGTCCTCTGTAATTCATATTGAAGTCTGCAGGGGTCCTGGCTTAAGGTTGTGTTTAAAAATGCAAAGCCATTGCACTGATTTATACCTTAGGGAGAAGGAGGGGAAAGGCAAAACAGCCTAAGAAAACAGCTTTCTCAGAGTTCTTTGGGGGTGATGCAGTTTAAATCTCAGGTGTTCTAAAATACAGAGTGGCTGGAGTTTGGAGTGTTCTGAATCACCACACAGGCCAGTGAGACTCTCTTGGTCTTGTTCTTGGAGTAAAAGGAAGCTTCAGGGGATTTCTAATATTGGTGTTTTTATGGGACTAAAGTACTCATGGTCATGAACTAGGCATGGGGTTCAGTTGCAGTGTCTTGCCAGCATGTATAAGGCCCTGGGTTCAGTTTCCTGCACTAAAAAAAAAAAAAACTAAAAGTAAAAAAATAAGGGGCTTATGACCTTGAAACTTGGAGTTGCAGCTCTCATCCTCTGCACAAGTGACTGGTCTCGAGCAGCTGAGCACTCCCTTCTTTTTCCTTCAGAGAAGGCTTGTCAAATCCCTTGAAGATCTTTGCTCCCAGTATGATTTGACAGTCCGAAGCTCCACCGGTGATATCATCCAGTTCATTTATGGGGGAGACGGCTTAGATCCTGCAGCTATGGAGGGGAAAGATGAACCTTTGGAGTTTAAAAGGGTCCTGGACAACATCAAAGTAAGACTTAGCCTTATTTGGGAGGGCTAGAATGTTTCTGAGGATTTTTTTTTTTTTTTAAGAATATAGGTACCATTTGGATACCATAATTCATGCTTTAGTCATGTCTCCCTAAGCTCTATATTAGTCTTTTCTCTTTGTGTTACATTACCTAATTTTCCAGTATTAAAAAAAAAAAAAAAAAACATGTTTTCATTTAAATATCTACTATTGGTGGTACTCAAGTGCCAACGGAAGAGGCTTTGGTTTCTCTGTGTCTAGGAGAGCATATAGAAACGAGTTTTATAAGTCAAGGCCATGGGAAAGCAGGCTCATTTCACATACATAGCTGAGGTAGAATTCCAAACCAGCTTCTTGGGAAGATAGCATGACAATATTGATCTGAATTTAAATACTTGTGCTTTTTGACCCAACAGTCCCACTTATAGAAATTTGCCCTTACAGAAACAGCCTAAATGTGCCAAAAATGTCTTTTCTAGGTGGTTTACAGGACAGGCGAGCCATCGGTAGAGGATAAGACAAGTACACAGTGTTCTAGCTACCCACACAGTAGAATAATATGCAGCCATTTAAAACTTGGGAAAATCCCATGGGCTTGGCAATGTTAGAGTATTTTTACTCTTGAAATGTTTGGTGTTTGTTTTTTGTTTTTAAGACCAATATCCATTTTAATACAAATATGGGCTATGTTGAAGGTTGGGAAGTAATAGAACAACATCCCCCAAATAGTGTGAAAGTCTTTGTGTAAGATAGAGTACGTATTTATCTGATTCTCACCTTCTTATGAAAGGTAGAGTCCACAATTTGTTTCAGAAGAAAAATGACAAGTGCAAAAAGCTCACTTTGGATAAAGTTACTTTATCTCCTAAATTCCTTTACATAATATTGCCCAGCTCCTCACTCCTGCAACGTAATGCCATCTCATTCTGATATTCAGGCAGTCTTCCCATGTCAGAGTGAGCCTGCGCTCAGCAAAAACGAACTGACCCTGACCACGGAGTCCATCATGAAGAAGAACGAGTTCCTCTGCTGCCAGGAGAGCTTCCTGCAGGTACGCTGAGCCCTGTGCTGCCATCATACCCAGCTTGCTGGCATCAAGAAGTCTTGCCATGTGCTGGCCAGTGAATTGCATAAGCTAGTGGTTTTTTGTTGTTGTTTTTTAAGGTGATTGTTCCTTTACTAGGGTGCTCAAAAATGGCCTAGGAAAATGTCTCACTAGCCAGCATGAAGAATTTATATCCTATCTTTCACAAAAACAGTTTACCATTAGAAGAAAAATACATTAGAGAACTGATTTTGAGCCCTGTCTCTGCCACCAGCATACCGTACTGCCCACCTTCTTCTCCTATGGACCATTCCTTTCCCCAGGCATCTGATCCCTTAGTGATAGCAGAGTTCTCTTCCTGTCATGTCCTTTAAATTGTTCTTTCTCATACTAGTACAGATTAGAAATCCAGTGAGCTGGCCTTCCTCATTCTTCCCAGAGCTGGTACCTGGATACCCTCCTGGGGTCTTCTGTCTGAGTCAGTTGGTTTTCAGTTACACTGACCTGCTCCAGCAGTTTCTTCATATTTATAATCATGGTTAGAATCAAAAGCAAAGGATAGAGAAATCAGTAAATGGTTGCCTTTGTGTGCTGATTCTAGTTCCAACAGCACAGGATCAGCAGGCTAAGGAAGAGTGTATCTCTTTCAATATATCAAAAGTCAAATGGAAAGCAAAGCTCAAAGAAGAATGCTTTGTAAAGGGAGTGCTGCACTTCTTCCCTCCCCCAGTGGACTCCAGGCTAAAAAGTGCCTCTTCCAGGTTTTCTTGTATTTAACATCCAGTGCATAACTGGGCGTCTTTGTTTTGGTTTTTTTCCTCCAGATATTTGCTTCTTTCTTTCTTTCTTTTCCTTTTTTTTTTTTAATTAGTATTGTAACTTGGTTTTTCTTCATGCTTATGTTTACCTGTTTATTTTTCTGTTTACCCTTGAAGACCTTTACTGAGACAGGCTATGAGACATATAAGAAGGTAACTTGCTAGCACGGTGTGAATGCTGAGCATAACAGGTTAAATCTGGCTCTTTGCCAGCATCCGAGAGAACATATTTGAGTCTCAGTTCTGGCAAACATGGGCTTCTCCTGGACCTGTTTCTTTCTTGCCTTTGACCAGGTGAACTTCTGACCAGCAGTATTTGTCTATTTAGAGAGCACTGGTTTAGTCTGCACCGAATATCAGATACACTGCAGATCTGGGGGTGCAAACATGACTAAACATGTCCTTGCCTGCCAGTAGCTCTCAGTCTGATGAACTGAGATTTGCTGAGGGTCTAAAAGCCTTTGACTGGAACAGATTTGCCTGAGTCGTGAAATATTCTCCAGCCCAGCCCATGCCAGAGCTGAGGCGGCAAAGCTGCTCCAGTGGCATCGGCCCTGCGTTCACCGCACCCTGTGCAGGGAGTGTAAGAGCTAACAACTGTTTAGTCTGTGATTAATTGCCTGCCACTTGCCATGTTGTGACTCTCTCTAGCATGCTCAGGTTGATTCAGCTGGGTTCTTGGTAGCTTCTTTCGGTTTTCATTCCCACCAAGCGTTTGTCCTTTAAAAGAAAACTAACTTCCCAATTACCTGCCCTAACCCCTGTGTATGGAAAATCCTTTGTTTCGGCAGAGCCACTGGAGCACATCCCCGTGGGTGGTGGCTGAAAGATGTCATTCTGGTGTCTGCTGGGTGGTGGTTTCTTGCGTGTGCTCTTTCACTTCTTATGTGTGCAAAGCTCCACACCACTGAAAACCCCTGAGTCTGTGTGGCCTTGGTTCTGGCTCCTGTTTCCCTACAACAGGTGATGCAGCTTTTCACTCTCAGTGATAGAGTGGCCACATCTGGAGCAGTAGGGCTCAGTAACTGCCAGGAAAGTGGCAGGGGTGAAGATTACTAATATAAAGGAGGCTCTGTCCACTGAATTGTATCAAGGGAAAATTCAGTTTAGCCGTAAAATATCTTGAATATTCCCATGGTCGGCAGTGCCCCACCAGGAAAAGCTGTTCTGCCCCCCTCCTCCCAGATAGTAACTGAAACTATCTGACCGTGTGGTCTCAGGCTCCTGATTAATGAGTGAGTCTAAAGAGTTTCACTTTAAAAACAGCCTCTTGAGGATTTCCAAACTCTTGCTAGTTAGTAAGAGTCCTTTCTTCAGTAAAGGTTTTGTCTGCCTAGAAGGATGGCAGAGCTGCCAGGTCACCCTCCACATGTCTCCTCACATTCCCAATGGGAAGAACGGGAGTTGGTCAGTACAGGCAGTCACAAAAAAGCTGTGACCATAGGAAAGGGGCAGCCCTGGTGCACTCCCTTGGCCACCTGGATTTCCAGAAGACAGACTGATTTTCTTACAGTGAGCAAAAGCAACATCACAGAAACCTCCACCCAGATAGCAGACCTTGGAGAAAGCATCTCACCTCATTCTGCCCCGAGTGCCCCCTGCTCTGGGGGATGAGCTAAGGCCATGCTGCCTCACAGGCAGGTCTTGCAGGCCTGGCAGCAGCTGGTTAGCTGGTTAGGAAAGGCATGTAAACCACGGACCAATGGACACAGATGCTAATTTGTTTAAATGTAAGAACACAGTCAGGCACAATGGAGTGTGCCTGTAATCCTAGCTTCTAGGAGACTGAGGCAGGAGGATCACTTGAGGAGCTCAGATGATCCAAACTGGGTTAGGCAATATAGAAAGACCCTGTCTCAAAAGGAAAAAGAACATAAAGTAGATTCTAGTGTTCTACTTTCAGAAAAGTACCTACAGATTAGTAGGTAGTCCATGGAAAGCTAAAGAAGTTTATCATTATAGTGTTAAGATAGAGTGGGGCTAAGAAATAGAAAATTCTCTATAGGTGCTTTATAAGATTTTATTTTTGCAAAAGCAGGCTTCTGATTCAGTGTGCTTGAAAACATTTGTTTCAGTCTTAACATATCAGGTAGACTGAATAGACTTTGGGCAGGGAGGGCTGGCCTTTTCCCCAAGGTCAAGAAATAAGACCTCATGAAGCTTTTTTCTACTCTTTTTTTTTTTTTTTTTGTAGTTATGGATGAACATCCCTCAATCAAAACAGGATGGCCATTGCCAGCTGTCAGGGCTGAGACTTAATGACCTAAAGGATTATTGCTAATGCATGATTTGTGCCTTCTGCTCAGCCTAGAAATGCTCTAAGAGCTGGTCCCCTAAATTAGGTGGCCCACAGTGAACAGGATGCTAACTGCTCCTCTGGTGATCCAAGACAAATGCTGGCCACCTTGATGTTTTAGGAGAAATAATGGACTGGGAATCAGTAAACAGATAGGTGAGCTGGAGATATTGCTCAGTGCTACAGGGATTGCCTCGCATACATGAGGCCCTGGGTTCCATCCCCAGTACTGCAAAAATAAATAAATAAATAGATAAACAAATAAACAAACAAACAAAACAGATAGGTTTTCCCCTTTGAGTAATTGCTAAAAAAACAGAGAGTGAGGTCTGTGGTCTCCAGGTCTGCTCTGTTAGTCACCCGCCATGAGGAACTCTTCATCTTCCTCCTTGCCCTGTGTTGTCATCCTGAGGCCTTGAGTGCTGGTGCAGAGCAGCGCAGACAGCACTTGGGTGTCATATCTGGCCGAGAGCTGCTCCCAGGGGTTCTTGTGAAGTTCTGATTGTGAGTGGGAAAGGAGCATGGGACTGGGGGCAGGCAGCATGGTTGTGATGCAGAAGTGAGGGTCAGAGGGAGAGAGAAGTGGGGATTGGCAACAGTTTTGTGTGAAATGAAGGTGAGCCTATTGTGTGTGTTTGAAATGCACGTGCTGCCTACAAAACTGTGCTTTAGCTGGTGGTATTTAAATTGATCATCGGAGCTTCAGAAGAAACTCTCAAGAACCAACAGTGTAGAAAAGAAAGCTATAAACAGTACAGTTATGCCTGTTCTGAGGGTGTGGATGTAGATCCTGTGGGGTTCTGGAAGAGTGCAAGTGTGAGCTCCCACATGCCGTGTGAGTGAGCCAAAGGCCACAGATGGCAGTTGAAATAAAGAGATCTAAGAAGCCCCTTAACTGGTGGAGTGTGTCCAGGGTGTTGATGGCATGGGGTGGGGTGATCCTTGGGAAAACACTCTGCAGTAGAACCAACCAGTATCCATACTGTGGCCTTTATACCATATATCTAGCTACTGCTAAAACAGGGTAATTCATATGTGAAGTTTATGAAATGAGTAATCTCCAGATTATTGAGAAACATACAACTGATGTTTGCTGTGTAATTTTTCAGGAAATAAAAAAATTCATTAAAGGGGTTTCTGAGAGGATCAAGAAAACCAGAGATAAATATGGCATTAATGATAACGGCACAACAGAGGTAATGGCCTTCCCTGACAAGTTACGGCACAGGTTTTTGCAGGTGCCCTGACCCTAACTGTGGTTTTTATTCTTCCAGCCCCGTGTACTATACCAGTTGGACCGGATCACCCCCACCCAGATAGAAAAGTTTCTGGAGACCTGTAGGGACAAGTATATGAGGTAGGGAGGCTAATTGTCTTAGGCCGTAGGCATCCACTGACATCTCTTTTGTCCCTTATGTTCCCCATGGGCACAAAATCCTGTACCAACACCACTTCCTTCCTACCAGGGTTACAGCAGATTTGTCACCTATGATCTAGGAATTCCAGTGAGTCACTAGGCTGGAAACTCTCTGACCTGGAAGTAATTACAAAGAAATTTCCCAAGTGTCTTCTCCCCATGGATAAACTCCAAGAGATATGGCATGTGCTAGCTGCTCTGTCCACTGTCAGTGCCCTCAGTTAGCCTTTTTTTTTTTTTTTTTTTTTTTTTTTTGGCTCTGGGGATTGAACTCAGGGGCACTCGACCACTTACTGAGCCACGTCCCTAGCTCCATTTTATATTTTATTTAGAGACAGGGTCTCAGTGAGTTGCTTAGCGCCTCTCTTTTGCTGAAACTGGCTTCAAATGGCTTTGAACTCATGATCCTCCTGTCTCAGCCTCCCAAGCCGCTGGGATTACAGGGGTGTGCCCTCTTTACAGAGGAGACCACTGAGATCTTCTCTAAGCAGTGGATGTTGGACCCGTTCATCCCATGCTGAGCACCAAAAGAATTTCATTGCTGTTTCTGGTCTGTGCTGGGTTTCTCCTCTGTCACAGAGGAGAAACAGCCTGGCCCTTTACCAGTTCCTCTCTCACCTCAGTGGCACCTTTGTTTTCTTGAAAAGCAATAACTATGGGCATGGTGGCTCATGCCTGTAATTCCATCAACTCTGGAGGCTGGGGAAGGAGAATCGTAAGATCAAAGCCAGCCTCAGCATCTTAGCGAGGTCCTAAACAACTCAGCAAGACGTTGTCTCTAAAATATCTTTTAAAAAGGCTGGAGATGTGGTTCAGTGGTTAAGGGGCCTGGGTTCAAACCCCAGTACTCCCCGCCACACACACACACACACACACACAAAGCAATAACTAGAAGCCTTTACCTAGCACTTTTGCTGGACTTCTCTATTACATTATGTTTTCATTCATGCCTTTTCCTTCTAGGGCACAGATGGAGCCAGGCTCTGCAGTGGGTGCACTCTGTGCCCAGAGCATTGGTGAGCCAGGCACCCAGATGACCCTGAAGACTTTCCACTTTGCAGGTGTGGCCTCCATGAACATCACTCTGGGCGTGCCCCGCATCAAAGAGATCATCAACGCTTCTAAGGCCATCAGGTACCCGGCTCCCTGCCCTGTGTCTGGAGGAACAGTGATCCTTGTGTCCCACGCATACCTATGATGCTCTAATGAGACAGTGTCTCACACTCTGTAGCATGCTTACTGTGTTGATCGTATTTTGGTGTGATTTTTTTGTGTGTGTGGTGGTGGGGATTGAACCTAGGACCTTGTGCATGCAAGGCAAGCATGCCGCCAACTTAGCTATGTCCCCAGCCCCCTATTCTGGTGTTTTAAAAAGTCACTCCAGATGCAGTGGCACACAACTGTATTCCCAGCTGCTTGGGGGGCTGAGCAGCAGGTGGATTGCTAATTCAAGACCTGCCTGAGCAACGTTAGCAAAGCTATCAAAAAATAAAAAAGGGCTGGGAATTTAGTTCAGTGCTAGAATGCCCCTGGTTTCAAGCCCCAGTAATTAAAAAAAAAAAAAAAATCCTGGATGCAGTCAAGTGGAAGCAGTTTTGTATTTTTTTTAAATAGCCATAAGTCACAAGAAAGAGAAAATGAGAAAAATGACCAGACAAATTGGATATTTCATCCCTTTGATGCCATTCACTGCCTAAATAAAGCTGATGCCATATTCTGAGATGCCCCTCATGATTTTACGATGGAATCATAGGTAGTCTGAAACTAGAAGAAATTGAAATACATTACATTGCATTCGATGACCAAAATCACAATTTAATCTATAATCTAAATCTAACAAAACAGCAGTAGCAATAAGTGAAAAATAGCTGTTCCTGGTTCTAGAACAGTGATCGTGGATGTCCAGGGTGGTAAGAGCTCTACCTGCCCCTTGCGGCTAGTCAGATTAGTCCTAGGATTGTGTGTTCAGGAGAACACCATGGAGAACAGTGAGGACAGGAACTGATAGTCAGCAGTCAGAGAAGCAGGAGGTGGTCCTGGAGAGGGATGGAGGAAAATGAAGTACCTGAAGGGTCAATGTACTCACGGAAGAACTGAAATGACCATTTCTCAGGACCAAAGAGGAAGGGGCAGGGCTCTCTCTGTCTGGAAAATTTTTCTTAAAGTGTTGTCATTCACTGATGGAGTGGGTTGCCTGAGGCACTCCAAAAATAGTAAACCCAAATGAGAGTTCATTCGGCTTTTGTAGCATGTCTGACACCCAGAAAATGCTCAATAAATGGCAAGTACAGTCACAGGAGACTGTGAATAGCACTCAGATAGAGCAGAGCAGTGCTCCTCAGGCGAGCCCAGTCCTCATGCAGTGATCGTTTTTTCCTTCTCACAGCACTCCCATCATCACAGCACAGCTGGACCAGGATGACGACGCGGATTACGCCCGCCTAGTGAAGGGCAGGATTGAGAAAACCCTCTTGGGGGAGGTAAGAGATGCCTCTGGATAACAAGAAAAGGAGCCAGGCAGCACTGAGAGGGAACGCCAGCTGCAGGCCATGCTGTTCTAGCTCTGCCTAAAGAGCTGGGCGTGTGTGCTCTGGGAGGAGGGGAGTGATTGATGAAAGTTCTGCTGTCTCAACACCACAGATTTCCGAGTATATCGAAGAAGTGTTTCTTCCTGATGACTGCTTTATCCTTGTCAAGCTCTCCCTGGAACGGATTAGACTTCTGAGACTGGAAGTGAGTCACCTAATTAAATGCGTGGAGGAAGTCATGCTGTCAGCCCCAACACAGGTGCTGACAAACTAGGGCAAGGGCCACGCAAGACAGGAGGCAGTGCAGGGGCTTCAGTTTGGCTTCTATTGTTGGAGACCCCGTTGTACCATCCCATTTTCAGTCTTTCTAAGCTGACCCTGACACAGACATGGCCATCTAAAGATGCAAGAAAACTAGTTGAGGCTTTGTGTAGGCCCCAGTGCCAGTTCACCATGACATACTGTGTTAGTCAACCTTCTGTTACTGTAACAAATACTTGAGCTAATCAACTCATAAGGAGAAAAGGTGTATTTTGGCTCCTGGTTTTGGATAGCACGTGGCATTATGATAACTGGTCTCTGTGTCTTCCCAGTGTCTGGAAGGACTCTTGGGCCGGTGTGCCTTGCTCATCTGTTATCTCCATTACCCAGCACAGCACCTGGCTGCTTTGGTAGATGTCTTTAAATGGCTGGTTTAACCTGAGGTCTCATACTGGCATTTGCATGTAAATAATTCAATGATCATCAGCCTTCTTCAGGGATATATGGAGACAGGGTGCATACGGCAAACTTAGTAACTCCCTGGCACCTTCCTCTTTCCCTCAAGTGGTAAAGCATTTAAAACATTCTTTCAGTCCAGTGTCAAGTGTCAGATTCATGTGTTGCCCATATGACAGTTAGGTATGAAATTTAGCACTCAGTCTCCAATTTAGAGACTTCTCTTGCTCATCTATTGTTGCCTGCCTTGTGTCTCTTGAACCAGAAAAGCCAAGTTACTTCTAGGAGTGTAGCACAGGAACAACTGTGGTGATAGGAGATATAGAGGAGGTTCCGCTGAAGCTTTGAAGTCTCCTGGCCTCTGCTGACCTGCAACCTCCCCAGAGCATCCCACAGGGGCTGCGTGTATTGCCATGAACTGAACCAATATTGGTTCTTTTTTTTTCTTTCTTTCTTTTTAATATTTATTTATTTATTTTTAGTTTTTCAGCGGACACAACATCTTTGTATGTGGTGCTGAGGATCAAAACCGAGCCGAACGCATGGCACGCGAGCGCGCTACCACTTGAGCCACATCCCCAGCCCAAATATTGGTTCTTTTTTTTTTTTTTTTTTTTAAGAGAGAGTGAGGGAGGGAGAGAGAAAGAGAGAGAATTTTAATATTTATTTTTGGTTTTCGGCAGACACAACATCTTTGTTTGTATGTGGTGCTGAGGATCGAACCCAGGGTGCACGCATGCCAGGCGAGCACGCTACCGCTTGAGCCACATCCCCAGCCCCAAATATTGGTTCTTGAAGTGAAAAAGATTTCTTTTTTCTGAGTAAAGCGGGGCTAGGGATATAGCTCAGTTGGTAGACTGCTTGCCTTGCATGCACAGGGCCCTGGGTTCAATCCCTAGCGCTGCAAAAGAAAAAAGAAAAACTGAGTAGAGCAGATAGACACATGTACATATCAGATATGCAGTATATCTGTGGTATTAAAAAGTAATAAGGGGGCCACACACGGTGGTGCAGGCTTGTAATCTCAGTGGCCCAGGAGGCTGAGGCAGGAGGATCATGAGTTCAGTTCCAGCCTCAGCAAAAGCAAGGCACTAAGCAACTCAGTGAGACCCTGTCTCTAAATAAAACAAAATAGGACTGGGGATGTGTCTCAGTGGTAGAGTGCCCCCAAGTTCAATCCCTGGTACCAAAAAAAAAAAAAAATGTTAAGGGAGGAAAATGACTAAAAGCTTCTTGAGAGGCAGTAGTGAACTAGGGGTGGAATTACCCAGAACGGAAGGTCTTAAGTTCCATTAGTAATGCCCACACCTGGGCCTTGCAGGTGAACGCTGAGACGGTGCGGTATTCTATTTGCACTTCCAAGCTCCGTGTGAAGCCTGGCGACGTGGCTGTTCATGGTGAGGCTGTGGTGTGTGTCACCCCTAGAGAGAACAGCAAGAGCTCCATGTACTATGTGCTGCAGTTCCTTAAGGAGGACCTCCCCAAGGTGAGGCCAGGTCGCTGTATATTTTTTATATTCTTATATATATTATATATGTGTGTGTGTGTGTGTGTATATATATATATATTTTTTTTATTAGTTGTTGATGTACCTTTATTTATTTATTCACATGCAGTGTTGAGGATTGAACCTAGTGCCTCACATACGCTAGGCAAATGCTTTACCACTGAGCCACAACCCCAGTCCACCTGAATTTGTGTTTTTCTACCTGACCCCAGACAGCCCACAGACACTCTTGGGTTTAGAGTTACTAATGATAGCTGCTGGGAACTGGGGACAATCTAGGAAACCAGGGCATGACGAGCTTACCCTTACAGCCTCCTGGATTCTGAGGCTCTCAGGTTGGCCAGACCATGGGAGCTATGGGATCTAGAGCCTCTGTGTCTCTGAATCCAGGTGGTAGTTCAGGGCATCCCAGAGGTATCCAGAGCTGTCATCCATATTGACGAGCAGAGCGGAAAGGAGAAGTACAAGCTTCTGGTGGAAGGTGACAACCTGCGGGCAGTCATGGCCACCCATGGTGTGAAAGGCACCCGGACCACCTCCAATAACACCTATGAGGTACCACTCAGCCCACCCCCATCTCCTCAGGGTCAAGCTATCTCCCTGTGCTTCCTATAGGCCCTCAGCCAATTCCCAGCACACTTCCCCAGGCCCTCGAAATTTACTCTGGGCCTACCACTAAGAATTACCCAGCAATCCTTTTTTGGGAAACAGCAGGGTTTGCTTTGAATTTTCTGGGCAGAGGAGGAAGTAGACAGAAGATTCAGTAGCGTCCAGAAGGGGCCTTCTCCACTCACCCCTTGCCATCCCTAGGTGGAGAAAACTCTAGGCATTGAGGCTGCCCGCACAACCATCATCAACGAAATCCAGTACACGATGGTCAACCATGGCATGAGCATCGACAGGAGGCACGTGATGCTGCTCAGCGACCTTATGACCTACAAGGTTTGTAGGAGGGGAAGCTGCAGGGCTACCAGGGCATCTGGAAACCCACTCATAGGAGAACAGAGCTTCGGTGCTTCCAAGGCATGTAGATATACTACTATGAGGACCATGCTAGAAAGAAAGTAAGATGCAGCTGTCACTCAAAAACCAAGGCTTGGTGATGGGGCCAGGTGTTCTGGTAAAGTCCCAACATGAGAATTGCAGTCTCATGGCAAACACTCCCAGTTAGTAGAACAAGAGCCAGAGCATAGTTTTTGTCTTGAGTTTTATCTTAAAGCAAAACTATCCATTGCCCAAAGCCCTGAGATTCCCATGCAAGCTGGGGTATTTGCACTCTATTATGCCTGTTCACTACACTTCTACAGCCACTTCCAGGCAGAGGATAAGTGTAGGTGATCTGAAGCGGAACACTGGGAGTGGCATGCTAAGGTTGGTTGGTTGGTTTTTTTGTTGTTGTTGTTTTTTCTTTTCCCCCTCAAAATGTATTCCACTAGCAATGCTATAGGGCAGCAGTAAATGGAATTAAGTTTGTGACCTCCCCAAACACTCCTGTCTGTATTGGAGGCCCTCTGAAACCCAGTGAGAAACAGGACCACCACAAAGGAAAGATCATCAGTTTTGTTTTGTTCTTGGGGGGCAGGCGGGGTACCAGGGATTGAACTCAAGAGCACTTGACCACTAAGCCACATCCCCAGCCCTATGTTTTTTTTTAGAGACGGGGTCTCACTGAGTTTCTAACTGCCTCACTATTGCTGAGGCTGGCTTTGAACTTGTGGTGCTCCTGCCTCAGTCTCCCTAGCCGCTGGGATTATAGGCGTGTGCCACCAGGCCCAGCAACCATCAGTTTTAAGTCTTCTTTTCCAGTCTTACTTTGTTCGATTTTACTGTATAAGTTGAAGTAGACAGTGTGCACCGCTTTTATTCTGACTTTTAACTGAAACGTTTTCTGTATTGTTAAATAATATTTCTAAATATTCTTTTTTAATGATGGCACACCATTTCTTTGATGGAAGTAACTAAATGGAATTAACATTTTTCCTACTTAAAGCTTTTAAATTCATTCTGTTTTTAGTTCTTTGGGCCATAATAAAGAAGCAAGAGTTCCCCACCCCCCTTTTTTTAAGTTAGAGTCTCAATTCTTCATTATCTAGGTGGAGTGTAAGGCTCCATGTCACCAGTGACCAGTTGCCTCCTGTGATAGTAAGGCTAGACTGACAACCTCAGGCCTGCAGTTATGACATGAACAGCTATTGGGCTGATTTTTGTCAAAACTATTGAGGGGATGCACAGTGCTTTGGTTTGGTGCTTTTGTGAGTAGCTTGAGAGCCCTCTGAATGTATCCACAATACAGGGTGAAGTTCTGGGTATCACCAGGTTTGGCCTGGCCAAGATGAAGGAGAGTGTGCTGATGCTGGCCTCTTTTGAGAAGACAGCTGACCATCTCTTTGACGCTGCCTACTTTGGACAGAAGGATTCTGTGTGCGGTAGGTTTGGTGTTTCTAGAAGCAGAATCAAAGGGTTTTATTGAGGCAGGCTCAGGAGCTCAAGCCTGTGATCCCAGCAACTCAAGAGGCCAAGGGAGGTTGAGGCTAGAGAACCCTATTTTGGGAGGTAGGGGGAGCTGGAGATTTAACTCTGGGACACTTTACCACTGAGCTGCATCCCCAGTCCTTTTTGCTTTTTTATTTTGAGACAGGTTCTCAATAAGTTGCTTGGGGTCTCACTAAGTTTCTGAGGCTGGCCTCAAACTTGCAATTTTCCTGCTTTAGCCTCCTGAGTCACTGAGATTACAGGTATACACCACTATGCCCAGTGAGGATCACATCTTTGACACTAGCTTGGGCAACTTAGCAAGACCTTGTCCCAAAGTAAAATTAAAAGGGCAGGGGATGTAAGTCAAAGATAAAGCGTGCTTGCCTAGCATGCATAAGATCCTGGGTTCCAACCCCAGTACTATCAAAACAAAAAGAAGGTGGCGACATTTATTATTTACAGGTTAGCCCATGGTTAGGGCTTCTTAATTGAATTGAATTGTTAGGGTTGAATTGAACACACTGAGCAGGCAGTGCCTTTATTTTTTATGTTTTTTTTTTTTTTTTTTTAGTTGTCGATGGACCTTTATTTTTTTTTTTATTTATATACAGTTCTGAGAATTAAACCCGGCTCCTTATACATGCTAGACAAGTGCTCTACCACTGAGCTACAATTCTATCCCTAGAGCCTTTTATTTTCAAGAATAAAGGCAGAGATTACAGAATTAGAACTGGTCAATCTCTTGTCTCCAAAGCCTGACTATAGCACCCTGTTCTCTCCCACGCCCTCTCTAAGAAGGCTATCCTCTATAGATACAGGTAGTTTTATGACCAGGAAGAAAAGATCAACTCTAAGTGTTTTGGAATTTTTTTAGCTATTGAAGTAGTCTGCTGTGTTGATCCTGCACCCAGTGTGTCAACAAGGCAATAGCATGGCCCCCTCAGCGCCAGCAGGGTGGTCCCACTGTCCTGTCTCCTTGGGAAGCAGCTGGTGTGCCATTTCCATTGTGAAGCCCTTGTACCAGGCACCAAGTGTGCTGAGCCTCTCAGCCCACCTGGGAGGTCACCTTTAACAATGAGACCAAGAGCAACCAAACTTGCTTGCCAGCTCGCCCTGCACTGCACTAAGCTTTGTCCTCCCCACACCACAAAGTGTCCCTGCAGGTGTCCTGGCCTAGGAACAAGGGAGTGCTCAACAGTGTTTTTAAGACCATCTCTGTCCCTGAGTCAGCACTGAGTCCTGGGCCTTTCTGTAGCCTTCCTTAGTCCACAGGAAGACTCTGTGGGCCCAAGGGAGGCATTGGTGCAGGGCTGGGCTTGGAATGTTCAGCAACCTGCCCCAAGTTCCCCCCAGTTAGATCCAATCAGGTTGCAAGCCTGATTGCCATGCCCAAGCCAGAGCTCTGCTTCCTGGTAGCCATTTCCTGTCACAATTCCTACTCTTGTGTGGATTTGTTAAATACAGAATGGCTAAGTGGGGCTTCATTCAGAACATTCACTTATTTTTTACCCTTTTCTCCTTTTAAAAGCTACATGGGGTCTGGGGTATATCTCAGAGGTAAAGCATTTGCCTAATGTTCAAGAAGCCCTGGGTTTGATTCCCATCACAAATAAAGGTGGGGGGAGGCACAAATTGGAGAGGAAGAGGAAAAGAAATTACACAGTTCTTCAAGTTAAAGAAGGGTGAGAGGAAAGAAAAAGAAGCACTGATTGATGTGGGGTGAGAGGAAGGCAGAGAAGAACAGGAGGCCAAGGCTGTAAGCAAAAGGAGAGCAAGTCTGCTGACATGGACTGCAACCCAGCAACCCACCCCTGACCCCAGGAAGCTGGGCTTGACTGCCCACCTACTCCTGCTGCCTCTCCACCACCGTCCAACCCTTTGTAATCCAGCACAGCCACCCCACCCCACTTTGAAAAATTTCCTCTCCTCCTGGTCCTTTAGCACACTGAAAGCCAGGTTAGCCCTCAGTACGTGGTTTTGTTTGGTTTTTTGCTTGTCTGGTTCCTTGTTGTCATGAAGCATGGAGCAGAGTAGCCACTTACATGCTTTAGAAGCCTGATGCAAAGCCAGAATTTGCTTTCTAAAAAGCCAAACTAGAGCTTATACAGAGACTTCTAAAAGCCAAACTAGAGCTTATACAGAGACTCTGCACCGCCCCTCACTCGTGGAACTCTGCAGGAGCCTTCCTTCTGAGGGTCTCTATTCCAGGCTTGGGCGGCTGGTAAGCTTCACCCAGCCCCTTCCTCTGAGCATAACTGACAGCTGCCTGCTACAGTTTCCAAGGGCATTGACATCTGCTCACTGCCATCCCAGTTGTTTGCTTCTTTCCAGGACCTAAGCTACAGATTCTGTGGGTGGCAAACTCAGTTTCCCAAGCATTATTCAGTACCCTAGCTGTCTAGGTTATGTTCTCAATGGCAGAGGCTACAGGATGCCTTGGCTCATCTGGAAGAGAACTAGCTGAATATATTTTAGTTTCCAAACAGTCTGCTGGGCCCTGAGCAGACAGTGTCCCTCCCTGAGGGTACAAAAGTCCCTCCACCTTCCCAGGCGCACAGTACCAGGCCACTGCTTCAGAGCCATCCCTCTTTTATAGATGAGAAGGAAAGTGATTTTCCAAGTTCAACCAATTGATGTGCTATGGAGCTAGAACTCAGATTCTAGTTTTCTAGTGCCCAATTCAATAGACTGTTCCTCCTGAAAACCCACCTATGTGTTGAGAGTTTTCTGATCTAAATTCTGCTTGGTTCCAGGGGTGTCCGAGTGCATCATCATGGGAATCCCAATGAACATTGGAACTGGGCTCTTCAAGCTGCTCCACAAAGCCGACAGGGACCCAAACCCTCCTAGGAGGCCTCTGATCTTCGACACAAATGAATTCCATATCCCTCTTGTCACATAGTCTGGGAAAGAGGGGAGCTTCTCACATCTCAGCTCCTTGTGCGTCTGCAGGTGGCTTAAAGAGACCTGTGCCAGTGGTCAGAGGGGGCCCTGACATCTCCAGGAGCAGCTCACCCTCTAATACAGGAAAGCCCATACCTGACTGCTCTGGGGCACTGAGGCAGGCTGGATTGTTGGTTATCTAACCTGTGAGCATCTCAGCATCTCCTACCACCCTCCCTCCCTGGACTTAAGAAGAGGCAAAGCCAGGAGTCACTGCCCATCCTCCTTACTGCATAGCCTTCACCAGCTCCCAGGTGTCTTCACGCCTGACTGTGAGCCAGGTCTGAGGCCCCACGCAGGCCAGGGCACGTTCCTGTTTCTTCTACTTGGTCATTCTGGAACCTCTCAATGTGGCATACACGTGTAAATATTATTGCTATTATTTATTTGCTCCATTTGAGGGATTTGGAATTTTTGCTTTTGTTTTATTTTCTTTTTGAAACCAAGAAGCTATAGAAACCAAGGAAGCATTAAAGTGACACTGGAAAAGCTGGTTAAGCAAATAGGACCATCTAGAATTGGTAACTGAGTGGAGACTGTTGAGAGGCCCAAGCTCCTCTGAATTGTTGTCTTTAAGATGCTGTGTCTGTCCTGTTTTCCTCTACCTCTGACCCATAGTGGGGCCCTACCTTGTTTCAAAAGCCAAAGCTATTCTCCATGTCCTATAGAAGCCTCCATAAAGCTAAGAGCCTCTTAAGGTGGGGACAAGGTATCTTAGAACCTGGCAGTATCCACAGAGATGATACACAGCTGTCTAGGCTGCCAGCGCTGCCTTCTGCTGACATCCACACCCCTCCTGAGGTGTCTCCCTGTCTGTCCTACTTCCCAGAACTGAAGGGTGCAGGGCTGGTGCAGAACTGATGACCTATAAAGTACCCCAGGGACAGTGGTGGGAGAGGAGTGCTCCTGGTCACAGGCAGGCACCAGCCAAGACAAGAGAGGAGGCGGCCCTCGTAGGGGGTGAGCATCAGCTGGAGCTGGGGATGTGCCCCAGCTGGCAACACAGTTCCCTTGAAGAGTATAAATCTCCTGGGACAATAGAAAGCAGACACTGAGGCTGTCAGAAGAAAACCAGCCTGGTGTCCTGGGTTTACTCAGGCTGCTGCCTGGTGCCAGCACCATTGCTGGAGGTCTGTCAGGGATTTGGAAGAGGTTTCACACAACATAGGAAAGAAATGCAAGTAGCTCATCTTCTAAGAGGGGGTTTGCTCCTGGGGACAATGTGTTCTTTGTGCTGAATTTGCTCAGTCAGACTGGCTCAGAGCCAGGGATAAGTGGCAATGGCTGCAGTTCCCCTACTCCTGAAGAGCATTCTGTGGGGCTTGTCCCCCCACTTCCCTGCCCAGATGAGTCACATTGTTCTGGCTCTTCTCTGCCCAGGGAGTGAGATGACCAGAAAGCAGGGATTTGACACTATTTTCTTGCTCCAGTCACTCCTAAAGGTCTGCTGCTGCAGTGACAGCAGGTTCAACTGTCTCCGCTCTCCAATAGACAACAGCCCAAACTGAAGGGACAGGAGGTTATTGTTTGAGTGATTAAAGAGATGGATGTGGTAAAAGAGGACACCAAAAGAATTGAAGCAGTATTTTCTAGAACTGTGCTTAAGTGCTTTGGATGTCCCTTTGTTGATTTCCCAAGTTCTGAGTTAATGCTGCTAATAGATTCAGTGTTGCTGTTAGTTTTTGGATCGAAAGTAGAATCCGTGATTTCTCTCCCATACTGATGAGGTTCCTAAGTTAGCAATTCTTGACCCGAGTTGTTTTTAGAATTCCATTAAAATTTGTAGCTTGGCCTTATGTTTTGTCTGCATCCATTAGGCTGACTTGTGACCTTCTCTCAAGGTATCAAATGATGGGGAAAATGCCTTTTTTCTTAATATTCGCCCCCATCCCTCCCTTTACAACAATTAAGGCTGTAAACAGTTGCTGACTCAGGGTTTCCACTCAGCACCTCACTGAGGCACTGCTCCTCACGTAACCCAGGGAGGGCCACAGGGACCCCACGTGTACATGCAACTGCCTTCTTGAAAACTTGCCTGGGAAGTAAGCCACAGGCCTGATCCATCCAAGAGCCCTGGAGAACACAGCGTGGCCAGGGAGGGAACGGCAGGCCTGCTGTCCTGCAGCGTAACGTATTACTGCAGGGCCTGACTGGGGGAGCACTCCAGTGTACGCTGACAGGTCGGTGGGAGACATAAGTGACCTATGGGTGCAGATCGACCCACATCACCCTGGGATCCAGCCAGGTGTGGGGCAGTCACCCAGTGAGAAGCCACATGCCCAGAGGACACTGCCCCCTCCTGGTACCACCACAGCATCAACACGGGCAGCATTCTCTGCTCCCCACTGTTCTGTGACAGTGTTAAAATTTGCCCTTGTGATCATCCTTCTGCCCTGGCATTGGCTTTCTGCCAGCAGACTGGAGACATGGCAGCAGGATTCTCAATAGTGATCTCAGGAAAGGGTTTGGATGTTACTCTCTGGACCTCTTTGGAAGAAATAAGAAAACATTTTATGTTTCAACTCATCCATGAGCAGTTCTCTTTCTGACTATAGAGGTCTGCCCGGCCCTTTCCGTTTACATCTTGTGGACCAGGGGGATTAAGATAGCTCTTGACTTGATTATAGCCCCCTGCTTTGTCAGCACTTCGTGGGTAGGAGAGACATTCTGGAGTCTTTCCGTGTCTGTCAGTTAAATTATGGTGCCGTGTTTCTATTTAAGGATTTATCCATGTGTATTCACATTGATTCATGTCTGATTGAACCTGACACTGTATAATGATTATTTTTCTTGAATTTTTGCTGTCTCTTGGCAGACCTCTTTATTTTTATACCAAAATGCAAGAGGAGAACCTCGCTGTAAAACTATAGCAGCGTCATCCTTGTGGGTTATGAAACAGGGCAATTAAGACTTGAATGAGCTTGGGCTCCTGAAATAGGAAATATCCCCTGCCACAAGCGCACCTCTCTGGGTGCTTGAACACCGCCATGAGTGCCCCACCCTCCCCGCCTCTGAGATTTAGGAAGGTGAGGGATGAAGTCAGCCCTGTGTTGGAGCTAATGCAGCAGGAGACAGTGGAAGAAGGTCTCCAAAGCTGGCACACTGGAAGTGCCCCCTGGCCAGGACCAGGTTCCTGACTTATGTTCTTTCATTCATTCAATGAAGATTTAGGGCCTGAAATACCTAAGGCACCCATCTAGGAATTAGGGTTGCAGCAGTAAACAGGCCAATTAGATTTTTCTTTTATTGAGACAGGGTCTCTAGGTTTCCCAAACTGGCGTTGAACTGGGGGTACTCCTACCTCAGCCTCCCGAGTCACTGGGCTTGGACTTACCACCCTGCCCAGCTACAGATATTTATGCATCTATAAAGAATCCTTCAACAGAAGGGATGAAGCAAAGAGGGTCAGGACCAAATTTGGCCAGCATGCCCAGCACTCTTGAGGCAAGCAGCATCACCCAGGGCCTGTCACACACAGCACATAAGCAAAGGAAAGCTTGCCGCGACTGGCTGGTCCTCTGGTTCCAACCCCTCCTGACAGGTCCTCTGATGGGCCTCCTTCTGTAGGAGGAATTCTGTGGATTCCAGAAGCTGTGCCCTGAGAAGAGGACACAAGTCTCATAACTGGGAAGGACATTGCCATCCTCCCCAGACCCCCCAGTCTGTTTACAGTATATGAACGTGTAAATGTTTAGGCCCAAGAAAACTTGCTAAGTGTCATCAGAGTGTCAGGATTCAAATCCCCACCCTCGTCGCCATTTTCTACCTGGTGACTTTGGACAAATGACTTTGCCTCTTTGCCTCACTTTACTCATTTATCAGACAGGGATGCCATTTAGTGTTGTCCAGCTCTAGGGTCACTGTGAGGGTGGTTTAAAAGTGACTGTACCTAAAGCTCTTAGTACAGTGCCTTGCACATAGTACATAGTAAGTGTTCACAACTGTGGTAACCATTACTATTTTTACTAAAAAAAAAAAAAATGAATTTGCAGCTAAATACCAACTCTCTAGCCCTTTCATTTTGGGTATTTTGCAGTGCTGGGGATTGGATCCAGGGCTGCTCTACTGCTGAATTGTTTTTATTTTGAGACAGGAATCTCACTAAGTTGCCATGGCTAGCCTCAAACCTGTGGTCCTCCTGCCTCAGCCCCTTGAGGATTAGCTTGAATTACAGGTGTGTGCCAACAAGCCTGGTTCCTCTGTTCTTAATTTACCCAGATGGGGTTCTTTATAGCCTTGGAAATCTGGCCTCCCTACACATGACATCTGCCCCACTGTTCAGTCAGTAGATCTAGGAAGTGTTGTACTAGTCTCTCATATTGGGCTAGGGAAGGGGACCAACCAGAGTCACATGGCCAAGGGCTTAAACAATTTCATTTGGGCCATAAAAATTGATTGTGCTCTTATGAGGGTAAGAGCAGAATAATCCAGACATTTTTTATAGGGAAATTTGGGTGTGACTGTTAGATTTATGATAAAACACAATGTCCTGTGACCTTTTTTCCATTCAAGAGAGGGTACCATTTTAAAGTCATTAACAGAGAATATAGTAAACTGGGAATGCTGGATGCTTCTGGGGACAAAAACTGGGTAACTGAAGGACAGAGGTAGCAGGTGACGTATTTGCATTCTCTTGTACCTTTCTGACTTTGTAGCTTCTGAAGGTCTTTTTTGTTGTTGTTGTTGTTGTTGTTGTTTTGTTGTTTGTTTTGTTTTGTTTACACCAGTACCTAATGGTAAAGAAATTGAGTCATATTGGAGCAGCACTTGTTCTGGAAGTTACTGGAGTGTTCTGCTCTGGGAGTAATTGAGTAGTTCCTTCCAAGGATAACAAGAGAAAGGCGGAGGCACCAGCCAGGCACAGTAGCACATGCCTGCAGTCCCAGTGGCTCAGGAGCTCAAGGCAGGAGGATCATGAGTTCAAAGCCAGCCTCAGCAAAAGCAAGATGCTAAGCAACTCAGCAAGACCCTGTCTCTAAATAAAATACAAAAAAGGGTTGGGGATGTGGCTCAATAGTGGAGTGCCCCTGAGTTCAAAAGCAGGAGGCACCAGCTAATCAGATGGGAGGTTGCTGTCATTGGTTAGGACAGGGTGACCAAAACTGCAGATTGACACAGCCCTGGATGCTAAGATTTTCTTTCCTGACATAAAAATTCCCAAGTGAGCCAAGCATGGTGCCACACACCTAAAATCCTAGCCACTTGGGAGGCTGAGGCAGGAAAATCACAAGTTCAAGACCAGCCTCAGCAACTTGGTGAGGCCCTAAACAACTTAGTGAGACACTGTCTCAAAATTTTAAAAAATACGGGCTGGGGATGTGGCTCAAGTGGTAGCGTGCTCTCCTAGCATGCGTGAGGCCCTGGGTTCAATTCTCAGCACCACATAAAAATAAAAGAAGAATATTGTGTCCACCTAAAAAACTAAAAAAAAAATAAATTTTTAAAAATTAAAAAAAATTTAAAAGGCTGGGAATGCAGCTCAGTGGTTAATCTCCAGTTTAAAAAAAAATGAAACTCACAAGTGAGCGTTTCGGTGATAAGACAGTGGTTTCAGAGTTGCCAAGGAGGGATCTTGGGCCCCCAGCCTTCTACTCCACAGTGCCTTAGGTACAGCCCCATCCTCATTTCTCTAAGGTGCCTGCTCCAGCTCCAGGCCCTCCAGCCAGAAGAAATAGGGAAAGAGGCCTGGCACTACCCTTTAAGGAAAGTTCCCCAAAGTCACTTGACACTTCTGTTTACATCCCCTCAGCCAGAACCTGCCAAACCCAGCTCGAGGGAGGCTGGAAAACGTTTGGACTCTGGGTGGCCATGTGCCTAGCTAAAAATAGGGGTTAACAAAGAAACAGGAGGGACGGGAAGTAGGAGAGGATCGTATCTCTGCCTGTGGTGTATCAGGACCTTTTTCCCATTTGGGCTCAACAAAGTTCAGAATATTCTCCTAAACTCCTCAGCTAGGGTGGGGTGAGACCAGGGACTTCCCCCCCCCCCAAAAAAAAAAAAAAAAGAAATGCAGAACTAAGACCCTGACTCCTTCACTTTCCCTTTTCCTTTCTTGAAAATGTTATGCCTGAGTTATATATATAAACATTGACATTTAAATTAGATCATATTCCCTTAGCAGTATCAGGCAGTTCAGAATAGTCCTGAACTGATGGAAAATGTGACTGTCAAACATTCGTTCCAAAATAACATGACTGCCAAACTTTACTACATCTGAACTCCAATGCTGGGTCACGGGCATAGAATGATACATAAAATTGTTTTCTTCATTCTTCTTTTTCTTTTGGTAGCAGGGATTAAACCCAGGGGCGCTTAACACTGAGTCCCAGCCCAGTATGTCGCTAAGTTGCCAAGGCTGACTTTGAAGTTCTGATCCTCCTGCCTCAGCCTCCCAAGCTGCTGGGATTACAGATGTGCACTATCACATCTGGCTTCCAGTTTATTTGTAATGTAGTTCTCTATTATTGTTGAGGACTAATTTAATACTAGATTAATTCCATAAGGAAAGCGACCATGCAAAAAAAGGAAAAAATAAGTAAACTGGAGAAATTAATTTCAACTTTTTTATTTAAAACCAACATGTCCAAAATATTTCAGCATGTCATCAGCATAAAACATAAAATTGAGAAGTTTTAACATGCTTCCTGCTGTTCTGGAAATCCAGCATGTTTTACACCTCAGGCTTCAAGTGCTGAATACCATTCAGCCTGAGGTCGGCCATTCAGCTCCTTCACTTGCTACCCTAGCAAATTTCCAGCAAGTGCCTTTTGGAGCCTCAACCTGCCTGTTAACCTGG